CAAATGCAGAGAGCGCCACCATTGGCAGCAGAGAGTATCCCAGCACACTCGCCACACTTCCACAGGATATACTGTAAATGCTCATCAGATTCAACAACATGTACATCCCGACACATCCCAGAGCACTGATGCCGTATACATATCCAAAGTGTGCCTTTCCTGCCTGCGGAACAAATATAAACACACACACACACGGGTATGTGCTCTGGACATTACATCTGTTTTCATGTCCCCTGTGCAATACAAAAGACCATGTACCTCTAGTTAATGGATTCAAGGTGGAGTTTGTACCATCAGTAGTGTGGCTCCCAGAGCGACGCAGAAGAGAACAGGGCCGGTGAGATCGGTCTCGTTCATGATGCTGCCATCAGCAGGCTTCAGTGGATTCAACACAGTCAGAGTCTTCTGCCAGATGTGCTCAAAGTTAATGCCCAGCTCTGGGAAACAATGAAAATACACATGCAGTTTTCCTTTAAGCAGATTTTCTGGTGAGTTTAATTGATGCATTGATTTGGGGTGGGGGGGGGGACAAGGGGGCTAGCAACGGTAAATGGCTTCTACACAGTAAATGGTACATGTGAATGGCGGGATTGTGTACTCAAGTCTAGAAAGTACATGTGTGCAGTGCTGTTCACACATTTCAGCTTAAAGATATTTTCTAACAAGTGATTGTATTACCTTCTAAAAGAGGTGGTTCGTCCTCATAGGAGTCTGTATATTCTGTTTGCTCGGGTTGAGCTACAGGCTGATACACTTGTCCAGTATAAGGTGCTGATGCTGCATATTCATCTGCTAAGTGTGCTGAATTATCCCTGAAAATCAGACAGGATACAATGACTTAATTAATTACTAAACTGAACAACTAACAATACAAACTGCACACAGAACAACAGTCTGATATATGTATGCATATCAAACACACACAGATGTTTTTACACTTACGCATCATTGTATTCTGGATTGAGGTAGGCTGGATCATAGCCATACACATCTTCCTGTTGACCATCAATATAATATCCAGACTGATAGAAGTCTTGTTCAGTGTTCTGAAAGTCTCCCATTCTGCTTAAAATAAGAAGGAGTGTGTACAAAATCTCAGCTGCGACATCAATCAAGTTATACTCTTACCTTTCTACGCCAGTCTTGAGTTTGAGTTGAAGGTTCTTGGTTTGTTTTTGAACTGAGGCTTTGCTTGGTCACTGAGCAGCTGTTGTGCTGTGTGTGTGATGCTATTAATAGTTTTCTATATTTACTTGCAGGCCATGAGCTTGAGTTGTAAAGCCATCCTGATGATCTCTAGATCTGGGAAATGTACTGAAGACCAATTGACTAAAGTAGTGCTGACCACTTTATTATTTACACTTTGCTACACTGTTAGACCTTACCAGGCTATTTTACAATAGAATACTGGCAACACTGCTGCTAGTTAGTCACTGTAATGGTTTGTTTACAGTATTTAACAGTACATTACTGTAACCAAACCATTACAGTGACTTACTGGCAACAGTTTTGCCAGTTAAATACTGCAACCAAACCATTACAGTAGGTATCTAACAACAGTGTTGCCAGTTAATTACTGTGATAGTAGCAGTAGCGGTAACTAGAAACTGATTACAGTTAATTATTGTATTGTACAATTCACAGCATTATAATGCATACAAAATGATGTCATAGTTATTGTAGTGTAACTAAAATGATCAGTATTCTTAACTTTTTTTCAGCTTAGTCCCTTTATTAATCTGGGGTTGCCACAGCGGAATGAACCGCCAACTTATCTAGCATATGTTTTACAAAGCGGATGTCCTTCCAGCTGCAACCAATCACTATGGCCAATTATGGCCAATTTCACCTACCCAATTCACCTATATGGAATGTCTTTGGACTTGTGGGGGGAACCGGAGCACCTGGAGGACACCCACGCCAACACAGGGAGAACATCTTAACAAAATTTGTATTTTTAAAAAGAAAACAACAAAATTGTCTATGTTAAATAAAATGTTATATTGTTGCAAGACATTCATGATACCTCTGAGTTATGGATGGAATATGCACTCTCGCTCGAGTTTTTAATCTTCACCAGGACTCCCACATTCAGCAATGTAGCCGGCTCACAAACCTTGTCAGACGGTCCCTTGAGCTCCTCCTCTTTGGTGGTATTCGCACCGTCGCTCTCACTGGAGATGGCTCATACACTGGGGGTGGCTCTCCATCTACTGTGGGCTCAGGTACCCGCTCCTTGCTGTACGGTGGTATTTGGATGGTCACTGGGTCCAGAGTGTCCACTCCATATAGATGGCGAAATTGCCTCGACGACCATCCTTAGACGACAGTGCTCTGCTTGCGGTGTTCAGGCTCTGGTTGTAAAATAGAGCATGTTGTCCAGATAGCTGGTGTTGTTCGCTATGACCAGACAGATTCTGGTATGTTCATTGCTCCAGCAGGAGAAAGAACTCGAGTCAATAAATGGGGTCCATGAAAACATGGGGGGGGAGGAGAAAAAAAAACACTGGGGCAAAAAGACTACATAAGAAAAGAGGGAAAATACATTACACAACTTTTCTGTTTTGGTCCGGTATTCTGTCTCATTCTCACTCTTCTAAAGAGATGCCAAAACACTGGAGTTGTCAAAACACACACGTATTTATTACCAAAACACTCACTGGAGACACTGGAACATCAACACACAGGAATCAAGGGGTGATGACAATTCAATACTAGACAATGGACTGAACAAAACACAGGAGTATAAGTACACAAGACCAAATGAACTGAATACAAACAGAACACAGGTGGAACCAATGATATTTATCTTCATTTCCCTTCCACTGTTTCTTTAAGATCAACACTGATTTCTTTTTGTTGTTGGAAAGAGAAGAACTTTGTGCAGCCAATGTTGTGCTTTGGTTAAGTCACATGACCTGCAGTGTTTTTCTGTGGCGTGATTTATGACAGACTGGTGTTTATTGTGAGGAGTTGCTAAATGCAAATGTAAACATCAATAAAAACAAAGCATCAAATAATCTCAGATCCGCAAATAAATCAGAAACATCACCTCAAGTAAGTTATTATTATGACATATTCACCACTCAAAAAAAGTTTTTATCAAATTAGTTTTTTGCAAATCGATTAAATATATGTGTTGCCAAATGGCTACACTGTCCTTTAGTGGAACGTGCAATATTGCAATGGGTTAGCTAGCTAGCAAAGTCAGCTGGGATCTTTTAAGTTGTAACAATAACCAAATGAAAGCTAGCAATATAATGTAGATTATTCATATGGTAATGGCATTTGCATTATGGATAAAATCTAGTTTTATTGGCAATACTACTTTTTAATAGATATAAATACAGGGAATAGTGTATTGGCGAACACCCCCATGTTTTACGGTAGGTGAAACAAGAAAAGGACAGAACTGGCTCTTCCTGCAGATGAAAGTGAGGATGAGATGGGTTTTAGTGACCAGGAGAATGATACAGACTGGACATTTGATAGAGACAGTTCAGGTAAGTTAGCTCTGAGGCAGATAAGACAGGCAATGTAAAGTATGTATAATATATAAATATTGTTAGCTAGTAGCTACAATAGTCTGATCCATCTGGATAAACTAGACTTGTTATTTATTTGTTACAAAATTTGGAAAATATTTATTTTCTGTATGTCGTATACATGATAATACAATATTATGATTCTTTTTAATAATATTCAGCAAAAAAGAATGGAATTAATGAAAACTGTAGAAATATCAGTTGTTGGAAAGTATATAAAAGGTGTTGTTTATAAGTTCTGTGTTAAAGCTTATAATACTGCAACACCAATTAAATAATTTCAAACAACAAAATTATTAATTATAAAGAAAGTTCTGAGTTTTAAATTTCTAAGTTAGATCCACTATTGGATGTTGTTGCCATATGGCAACATATCATAAAGTACCTTAAAAAAAGAACATTTTCCAAATTTTTTACAGCACGTCATTTTAGAAAAGGGAAATATTCTTTCATTTATTTTCTTGTCGGCTTAGTCCCTTTACCAATCCGGGGTCTCCACAGCGGAATGAACCGCCAACTTATCCAGCACGTTTTACGCAACGGATGCGTATGCCTTCCAGCCGCAACCCATCTCTGGGAAACATCCACGAACACTCATTCACACACACACACACTCATACACTACGGACAATTTAGCCTACCCAATTCACTTGTGTCGCATGTCTTTGGACTGTGGGGGAAACCAGAGCACCCAGAGGAAACCCACACAAAGGCAGGGAGAACATGCAAACTCCACACAGAAACGCCAACTGAGCCGAGGATCGACCCAGCGACCTTCTTGCTGTGAGGCAACAGTACTACCTACTGCGCCACTGCTTAGCCCAAAAGGAAAGCAGTCAAACATTTTTTTATAAATCTATCATAATGCGTGTGGTAGAGGGTTAAATCTATTTACAATAATATGGTTTTGGGCCTTTTTATGCCAAGACACTGTTTTTGGTTTTAATTTAACTAAATACTGTTATTTCATTGCACATCCTAAAAAAAAAAACACAATTGCTTGATAAAAAATGTAATTTAAATTTGTATTTTCTAAACTGCTTGGTTTTGTCCACTTTTCACCGCCTTTAATGATCCATCTCTGACAAAATTGCTTGTGTTGCACTTACTGTTTGTTTGATATTCTTGCCAGATTTTGATTATGTTGGTGTAACCTTTGATTGGGTCGTTCCTCTCTCAAAACCACCTGGCCATCACTAATTGGTGGAAAATGCTTAATATTTATTTATTATTATTATTTTATTATTATTATTATTATTTATTTGTTTTATTTTTTTACTGACCGGCCCACATTTTTAAAAAAATGGTCCGGCCCTTCTGGCATTTGCCAGAATTGTCCAATGGCCAATCCGCCCCTGCTTGCAACAATGTTGACAAATGTACACAGTACATGTCAAAAACACGCTTTGGTTCTTTTGTGTGTGCAGACACAAATAAACACTTTCTGGGATTTTATCGTTGATATGTAACGTGCTTGTATTTTAATATTATTTATCTCTCTTATCTGCAATAGTATCTGATGATCTACACATCTGGCAGAGCACTGGAGTTTTCGCTGGAGCTCAAACTGGAAACTTCAGCTTGGGTTAAAAAGGTCGAGTGGGAATCCTCCTCTTCATTCCTGTTAAAAAACACAGATAGATCGCTGCTTAATCAGTCAATATGGGAAAATGCAAACCAACAAATTCAGAAACTTCAATTTTTTTTTCTTTAAGTTTTTGGTTTATTGTAAAGTTTTGCAGTGATGTATTTTGTATGAATGATGCTACACGAATCATATTTTGTCATTGTTTGATTATACAACAAAATGACAATGATTATGAGGATTTATTGATTGGCAAACATCCACATTTGCTTTATAAGTCAGCAAAGCAAACATCTGCTGTCATGTCTCACCCGGGATTGCTGATACACTGGTTCCCCTCAGAATCTGTCAGAGCCAAATCATGAACTGCTTTCCTTCAGAAGCGTAGAAAACAAAAATACACACTTGTTACTTCACACAGTACATCTACTTTAGCTGATTTTGTTAGCAGTCATTATTGTATATATTACATGAAAACAACAACAATGAACTAGAAAAGTAAAGTTTGTTGACAAACTTTATGGTGTCTTGAGAAAGCCTAGTCTGAAAATCTGAAGTAGTTTTAAAGTTAAAATAATTGATGTAGTTAAAAGATGTTGCTAGGCGGTTACTAAGGTGTTGCTAGGTGGTTGCTAAGGTGTTGTGAGTGGTTTCTAGGCAGTTGCTAACATAAATTATTATGGTTCTAATTTAAATTAGCATGTTTCTAGCATAAATTAGCATGTTTTTAGCATGAATTTAGAATGAATTGGCATGTTGCTAGTATATTAGTATGTTTCTAATATGGATCAATAGTTGTAGTAATTAGCATGGTCCAATGTTAAGTCAATGGGACTTTTCTGAATTTTCCGGGTCAGTTTTTAAAAACCGTAAGTCGGATCAGTTAGAAAAGATAGAGCAACTTTTTGAGGTTTGGAGTCAGTTTTGTGGTTGTAGTATGAACGGTCTAGGAGGAGATGCATTTTTTAAAATCATCTAAGAAGAAGACGGAAGAATAATTAGTTTATGTTGTCTCAAAGAACATGTCGTTGTCAAAGCCGGCTCGTCATGCATAATATATCACCTCGCAATCAACTGACCTACACAATCCTGTCCTAATGATAATGTTTTCAAAAGCAAACAAGAAAAGAGAACTGTGGATGCATACTTTTGCCCCAATTTCACATTGCTTTTTTGTTTTTACTTGGTTTCTAGAGCCATCCTTAACTGGATTCAACCCAGTCCAATCTGTGTCCCAAGTACGACATTGTACAACGAAAGCTACAAAGCAAACTGACCACTCTGGAAAAGCTATCTATACAGAGATAAGCAGGTGTATTCGATTACACATCACAGATGCTTGGATCATGTTGTTTTTGTGGCATTTAATGTAAAAAGAAACCAAATTTGGCTGTGTCATACTGCCCCGCAGCATTTGTTTTACCCAGAAAATGCAGGCATGCGTATGCCAAGGCACATAGTTGCAGTTTCCCAAAAATGTTGCCCTGGGCCTGCATTACCAATGAGTCTGTGTTGTTTATTGTGGTTTCATTTATTCATTTATTATTCATTCATTCATTTTCTACCGCTTTTCCAGGGCCGCGTCGCGGGGGCAGCAGTCTTAGGAGAGAACCCCATACTCCCCAGACACTTCCTCCAGCTTCTCCGGGGGGATCACAGGGCGTTCCCAGGCCAGCTAAGAGACATGGTCTCTCCAGCGTCTTCCCCGAGGCCTCCTCAGGGTGGGAGATGCCTGTAGGTATTCTCACCTCTCTAGGTAGGTGTCCAGGAAGCATCCGAGCCACCTCAGCTGAGTTCTCTCAATGTGAACTGCGTGGTGGATGGGTTTGAGTGCCTGAGTGATCCTAAGAGCTTTGCTGTTGGGGGCTAATGCCCCTGCTAGGGCCCTCTAAGGCAAAAAGGTCTAGGGTAACAGGTCAGACTAAGTGTGTTTCAAAACCCCTTATGAGTACAAAGACATCAAGGACCGTGACATCGCCCGGTATTGTGCAGCCGGGGCCGCACCCTGAAGCCAGGCCTGGGTTTGGGGCTTGTATGCGAGCATCTGGTGGCCGGGTTTTTCCTCAAGAAACACAGCTGGACTTAGCCCAAAGGAGTGACATGGGACCATACTCCCACAGGCACACCACAGTTGTCAGGGGCCGGTGCATTGTGGAACTGGTGGTGGTCGAAGGTTAGGACCACGACAACTCGATCGTCAGTCACAGAAACTGGCTCTTGGTTTCATTTTCCAGAAACAGAAAAGGTCAAAAGACTACATATATTTGTATAGCTGCACTAAAAATTGTATTGCCATCCAAACTTCAGGTCAGAATCCACCAGGAAGTACTTACTTAGAATTTAGGGCATTCATTTTGGTAAAGAGCAGCCGGAGAACTCTTTCTCTCTGTTCCCAGCTCATCTCTGAAACACTGACGGCTTTCTTCAGACTGCTGATGTAAGGACACGTTGAGGTTACATACAGTTTTGCTAATGGAAAAACATCTTGCAGATGCTTAAGTACAAGATGAGTGATCATTTCATTAGATGAGAATTTTTTTTAAATCCCAGAAACCATAAAAGAAATGTATTAGGCTCTTACCCTTTTTCAGCCTCATTTAAAGCAATGGACAAGCTGCGGGTGCTGTGAGGAGTTTTGCTCATGGTGTGAATGTGAGCTTTCTCTCTTTTGCCTGATAAGAACTCATCCATCCGCCTGCTATGATTCACCTCTGCTTCCTGTCTGCGGAACATAATGCAACAAAAGGCTTGAATTATTGGCAGTAAACATTTTAACGGGAACTGTTGCTTGTATTTATACTATCTATAGAGTGAGTTTGGTGTCTGTGATGTTAAAGATATAATATTTAAAGAAAATCGGCACACTGCCACTTTAGCTCTTAAAAGTCATTTAATATCGCAATGTTTCGACCTACATGGTCTTCATCAAGTAAACAATACAATTGGAGTACCCGAGAAATAGTGATACAGTTCTACACATCACGACTGCAATCAATCACCCCAATCAGCCAACAAGCCAGTATTTTATTTTTTTATGTCAAACTCTTACATTTAATAAACAAATTAATTCAGTGCATAAGTCAGTACAAACAATTGAAGAGAACTGACACATTTTTTGCAGCTAAGAGGCGGCTTGAATGCATTTATACTGTATTACTGCAATTTCTTGAGGTTGAGAATTGAGATTTGTTTTAAACTTTAGTTTATTTTGAACTAAAAAAATAATAGAAACAATTCGAGTGTCATCGAGTGTCAGAATGTTGTGGGACTGGAGTTGTTATTATGGATTATAGATATCGAAATTTAGCGTTTTTTATTTTAGCGTTTTTTTTTTAAGCATGACGATAAAATACGAACGCTGTTTTAAAATTATTTTAAAAATGTTCTTGTTTGTTTTAAAAATTCGTGATAATGACTAAAAATACTAATTTGTGGATCTCCTTACTTCAGGGTGCAGCTATACTGCTATTGCAGGTGTATTCTGGGAAATCTTTTTACTCCTTGGTTTCGTGACTGGTCCTGAAAAATCTCAGTTCGAAGGGCTATTTACCCCTTTCCCTTAGCCCTACATTTTCAAAAGATAATTGAGACACCGCTGCCCCTTCATGTGAACGCGCAAAACAAGGAGTAGGAGTAAGGGGAAGGGCTAAGGGGTCGAATTGGGATTGGGCCTAAAGCACAACTTGACATGAATTTTAGGTTTAACAGAAACAAATGTTTTTAAAATAATTTTTTAAAAGAAACAAAATGTCATTACTAGGGATGTAACGGTATTGTAAATACCGTCATACCGCAATATTAATTTTTTTCGATATTACCGAAGTCGCATGACTCGGTAAAACTATAGGTCTTCTGAGAAAATTTGCTCAGGCGAATGAAGCGAACGGGAGGTAGCGAAAACTACAATCCCCATCATCCCTTGCGGTCTGTTGTCGCTACAGATCCAGTAATGCGGAAATGGAGTGTGCTGCTAGAAGCGGGGATCAAAAAGAGCTGTAAAACTCTAAGGCCCCTTTTACAAGAGTGCGTTTTAGTTTTAAAACGGCGTTGTAGAATGAAAATGATCCGCGTCCACACTCGCGTTTTACCCAGCGTTTCTGAACAGCTCTCCGTCCACACCAAAACGCTGAAAACGCACATCACGTGACCACAGACACTCTCGGGCAAGCGCTCCAGCATTTCTACCCAGATGAGAGCTCTGCTTGTCGGACTGCTCATCAAGCATCTTCCGCTGGATCTAATCTCACTATATTTGCTAAACGTGATATTTCATTCATGTTGTTGTCTTTATCTAACGACAGAGGCCAATTCCCTGACTTTGGTCATTGGAATCTATTAAGTTACTTGTTCACGGGTAACATGTTTTGGTTAAGCGCAAAGATAAGTTAATGATTAATCCAGGTACATTGACTGATCGCTTGCCTTTATTTCCTACAATGTATAAACTTATTGTATGTGATACTTTTATAATTGTCGATTATTAAAACTGATATTCAACAAAAGTGAGGGTGCGTTTCGTATTTTCACTGAAATTGAAAGGAGGTAGTTGTTATAGGCTCCGTTTTGTTATAAATATCCACACAGTGACGATGACGCTCATATTATACAGCACGACGCCTCAACATTTCTGCTGTCTGTAAGTTTTCTAATATTAAAAAGGAAATAGGCAGTTCCTTAAATCATGTTTACATTTTATTGTTGAGAAAGTGAAACAACGTAGCCAAGGTGATGTGAATGAAGTTATAAAGTACACTGTTCCCTTTGAAGATTTACCCGTGTCCTCGGTATGTTTTCCATATCAAACTGAAAAGGGGGAGACTGCAGCCTTGATCAAACTTGCGAAGTCTTAACTTACAAGAAGAGGATGCGAGACTAAACTGTGTGTGGGCTACTTAATATTGAGGAAAAGCCCCAATCAGATAGGCGAACGTTTGCAGCCCCGCCTCCGTTTTCAGATGTCTCCGTCTTTCCCCATCCACACTGAGACGGAGCAGCAGGTTTCAGAATGAAAACGGCCTCTCCAGCGTTTTCAAAAAGCTCCGTTTTCGGCGCTCGAGAAATAAGTCATATAAGTCATATCTCTCTTGTCCCAGAAACCTCAGTACCAAATGAGAGGTTTTTTTTCTGTTGCAGGGGACATTGTAAATGCCCAGAGATACCAGCTTTTACCAGATTATATTTATATGATAATTTTCCTTTAAACCCATCTCTATCTAAGTGAGTGAGTGATTAAATGTTGAATGTGATGAGTTTTCAACAATACTAAATTAAAAACTTAAATTTTTTTTTACATGGTTTAATATTTTTTTTGTTAATAAAATTGAAGTTCCTGTTTCAAAGCTTACAGATAGATGGCTAATTTGTATGTCATTGACACTTTTGGCTCTTTTTTGGAGTATTTTCATAAGTTTTGTTTTTTCCTGTAAATGATTCAATAAATACCGTACCGTGACATTCATACCGAGGTATTACCGTACCGTGAAATTCTGATACCGTTACATCCCTAGTCATTACTGTACTAACTAATTTGCTGGCAATTATTTATGTAGTAAATAAAATCTTCTTTTTGTATTCCATGTCCTGATCACATTATTCAAACAACCGACTGACCAGTGATCCAAACAAATATTGCTTAAGAGGGCCAATAATATAAACCAATAAAGAGCCAAAATAAAGGAAATGATGGAAAAATATAGTAGAAAATACTTTGAAGATTTTTCTGTGTTAAACAGCTTTTGGATATTTGAAAAAGAATAAAACATATTCAGGAGGCCTGATAATGTCGAAATTGGCATTCGCAATCATATTAGAGAATTGAGAATGCATTTGCAATCAAATAAACAGAGCTCTTGCACATTTGATATTGATACCACATAATCTGACACAAAGCAAAACGAATGAGAGTAAATTGTGCTCCTATTATTTGAATTGTGGGTCATTCTAACAGTGTTTTACCTCTGCATTAGTATCTCCTGCTTCACGTGGTTCAGTGCCTCATGGAAGAGGATCTCCATATCGGATCGCTGCTCCACGACGCTGCGAGCTGTTCTCTTCACTCGGCTCAGCTCTCTGTCCCGAACAATCAGCACTTTCTGCAGTTTGTCCAGCTCTACACCACCAGCTTGAGCTCTGACCACTGCACGCTGCTTGATTTCGCTCTTCTCCTTCTCAAACGCAGACACCATGTTGGCCAGGGTCTGCTCCAGTGTGGACACCTTCATCCTCAGCTCAGAAACTCTGCTTCGCTGTGCTGTGAGATTGGAGATGGTGTCATTGGCAGACTCTAAGGTGGATTCCTGCAGGGGGGATGAAACAATGAAGATTGTGTGCTGCTTCACATACAAGCTTCTTTTTTTTAAGAGTTCTCATAGTAAGTTTACATTTACATTTAGTCAATTAGCAGACGCTTTTATCCAAAACGACTTACAAATGAGTGCAGAATAAGAATAAGTGCAGTAGGCTAGTTACAGGTGTGTAAAGTCTAAGAAGCATAGCATAAGTAATGTGCATAAGCATAAGTAAAGTGGTATAGCCAGAGAGGCAATTGCAGATTAGGAAGGAAAGTGGAGACTAAATAGTTGAGTTTTTAGTCATTTCTTGAAGACAGCAAGTGACTCTGCCGTTCTGATGCAGTTAGGGAGTTCATTCCACCAACTGGGCAGATTGAATGCGAGAGTTCAGGAAAGTGATTTCTTCCTTCTTTGGGATGGAATCACAAGGCGACGTTCATTCACTGAACGCAAGTTTCTGGAGGGCACATAAATCTGCAGAAGTGAGAGCAGATAAGAAGGAGCAAAGCCAGAAGTCGCTTTGTAAGCAAACATCATAGCTTTGAATTTGATGCGTGCAGCAACTGGCAGCCAGTGCAAACAGATGAGCACTCGTGCTGCTGCGTTCTGAAGCAGCTGAAGAGGTTTGATAGAGTTAGCTGGAAGCCCGGCTAGTAGAGAGTTGCAATAGTCCAGTCTGGAGAGAACAAGAGCTTGAACAAGGAGTTGAGCTGCATGTTCAGATAGGAAGGGTCGGACCTTTCTGATGTTACAGAGTGCGAATCTGCAAGATCGAGCAGTTCTAGAAGTGTGGTTAGAGAAGTTTAGTTGGTCATCAATCCTTACTCCAAGGCTTTTTACCATTTTGGATGCAGTAAATGATTGCCCTATCCATCTGGATTGAAAAATTATGGTGTAGAGTCGGGTTGGCAGAAACTTCAAGCATTTCAAGCATGAGCTGGAACCAAGGGATCATCAGGGTAAAAAGAGAGGTATAGCTCGGTATCATCAGCATAGCAGTGGTCAAAAAAAACATGTTTCTGGATGACTGGTCCTAAAGATGTCGTGTAGATGAAGAAGAGAAGTGGCCCAAGAACAGAGCCAGGCACGTGCACACATAGGGCTCAACCTGTGCAGTGCACATGCCCTTTTTAGTCTTGGATAGAAAGTGCCCTTTAAAAAATGATCAAAAGTGCCCCCGCGCGCGACATCACCGATCGAATAGCCGTGCATCCCCCCCACCCCCCCAGCTTTACAGAACGCGCGCGACAACACCGCTCTTCAGTACGCACGTGACAACAACAACGCCCCATACTGGCCAACACATTAATAACATAAGTCTTTCTTAGCAAATTTATTTTAAAATACATTCTAAATTATGACGGGTATTTGGCAATTATAAAATTAAGATAAAGGCTCAGCGGGATTTGTTTCGCTTCACAATCTGACATTAAGGTGACTGTGAAGCTGAATATTAAAATAATAATGCCAACATTACCCTGTATACTCTGTCTACATTATGATTTTATGGTTTAATTAATATTTATTTATAATTTAAAAAACCCTTTACTCACCAAGATTAGGCTACGTGTTTTTGTGGAGGAACATTATTGAATCCACTGTAAATGGCTTTAGCGCAGTCCTGCGCTCAGGATGGTGCGTCCAGCAGCACTGAACACCCTTTCATTGCTGCTGCTACAGGCCGAGATGCATAGTCTTGGGTAAGATTGTTAGTTCATCTACTACCAGCCAAGAACATTTATTTTCCATGACAGCAGTTTTAATGTAGCGAAAGACCTCGTCATCTTCCCTGTCAGCTTGTTGTCATCCATTGCAATGCACATACATTGTTTGTTTGGCGCTCTACTGTAATACGCAGTGTATGAGTGACCGCCGGAATAGCTTGCCGGCTAGAATGACCATTCTTGTTGGACTGGCGGCTGGCCTAACCGCAGTCAAAATCCGCTCTTTTTAAATTCTCTCATCATTTGTTTTACCTTTGCAGATATGGATTTTAACGTTGTAACAAACGATTTGATTACTTTCTCGTGCTAATCAAATGAAAAAGAAAAGAAAGACACAATAATGCACCTGTTGGACGTAGCACAGTGCTCATTCAGTAAAGACACAGCTAAACAGATGTGTTATCAGTCTTGATCTGAATGTACCTAATGTTGGAGCACATCTGATCATTTCTGAAAGCTAACTCCAGCAGCGAGGGGCGTAGTAACTGAAGGCCGATTCACACTGCTTTGATCTTAAAGATTGCTTAAAGATCTGAGTGATCTATTAGATATAATTCAGTGAGCATATCTGTAATGTATTGAGGTGCTAGGCCATTTAATGATTTATAGACAAGTATTAAGACTTTAGAATCTATTCTTTAACTGTATACATACATATATTAAAAAGGAAACATAAGTTTGATCCTATCGATTTCGCAATAATAACCAGCCTATAGCCTTTAACAGCAAGCATCAGTGTTTTTTTTTTTAAGATTGAAATAGGAATAAGGGATGATGAGGCAGGGTGGTGCTGGATATGTGTGTACCTTTGAATGAAATCATGCAGGTGCGCCTGAACACTTTAATATGTCCTTGTTGACAAAGTAATAATGTCTTAAAAAATAATAATAATTTTTTTGAACATTAAATGGAAAAGATGCTAATTCTAGTGTGTTGTGTTGTCACCTTCTGCAGAGCAAGCATGTCGTTTTCTTCAGCCAGTGCTGTATTCCTCTTCCGCAGATCCTCCACCTCTTTAATGTGGTAACCCAATGCTTTCTTTAGACGCACGTTCTCCTTAAACATGGAGCGAGAAGTGTCATCCAGGTGTCTGACGGAGTCAACATGGAGGATAACAGCTCATTTACCTCATGTAAAATAAATCCCCCAAACAGTTTAAACAATTAGTGGCATAATGAAATAATAGTTTTGCATTTTTAAATTAGTTTTTATTTCAATATTATTTTTAAAGTAGCTCATTTTTTGCTCATTAGTTTTTAGTTTAGTTTATATTTGATTTTTATACATGTAGCTTCAGTTTAATGTTTGTGCAACTCTTGTGCAACTAGTAATAAAAATAATAGTTTAAACAGACACCGAACCAAAAAACAGAAATTCTAAAGATTCTAATTCTAAAAATTATAAAGAGATGATAAATTTACTTCATATTAAAGACAACGTATGTAGCTAAATGCCTAATTGAATTTTGTGGCAGACAAACTTATTTATTATGTGAGTTTATTCATGTGTTCCCAACACAAATCGATTAAGCAATCAAATTTAAGTGGATTGAACATAAAACTATTAAGTTGTCCCAAAAAAACCTTAAGAACTCTGTTGGTTCAGCTCTTTTTTAAATAAGTAGTTTGAACAAGCAGCAAAACTATTTTTGTGTGTGGCTGTGTATATAATCGTGTGCTTGACTGATGTGTCTGTAAAATCACCATCTAAAGGGCATTTCTCTAAACCAGGGGTGCTTAATCCTGTTCCTGGAGATCTACCTTCCTGCAGATTTCAGTTGCTACCCATTTCAAACCCACCTGAACCAATTAATTAGTACCTGAACACCACGTGATAATTACAGGCAGGTGGGTTTGATATGGGTAGCAACTGAAATCTGCAGGAAGGTAGATCTCCAGGAACAGGATTGAGCACCCCTGCTCTAAACAGATGCAGGTCAGATTGTCCACCACAGAATGATTGCTTATTAAAGAGCCCCTATTATAGGTTTTTGAAAATGACCTTCCATGTATTGTGCAACACAGCTCTAAGTGAAGTGAATTATCCAGCTATGGTTTAAATCACAGTGTTTAAGACTATTGATTCATCTATTAAAGAGTAAACTCACAGTGCTTTAAATGAATCGTCTTGATAACGAGTCTTTAACCATTTTGGCGTGATGTCAATAAGAAACTTAGGCCCCGCCCAACTGTTGCGTGCGCAAACCCAGGAAAATTGAACCCCCCGGCCCCGCCCACAAACACAGTAGCAAAGAAAAAGACAAGCACTGTAGCAGAGTCGTGTAGACGCTGTGCTCAGCTGAATATTATTGAAAGTGTGAGGGGGAAGTTAGTGTTATTTTCTCTACCCAAAGATGACCCAAAGAGTCAGTGGTTGAGGTTTATTTTTGCAAAAAAATATATTTTTCCAGACTTGTGCTGTGTTTCCCGTCATTTATGTGACGAGAGCTTCTACAGCAGAGGTGGGCAAACTACGGCCCGAGGGCCATATGCGGCCCGCTAAACACTTTCGTCCGGCTCGCAAGTTTTTTTTTAAAAACGCTGCTTCTGAGTAACCGTACGTTCACACCGAAAGCGGCGAGAGCGTCAAAGTAGCCGGAAGTCATTCATTTTCAAAGAGAGCCGGCGGCGATAAGCAGCGAGGAGCAGCGCGGCGCGTCTTCGCCGGAGTGAGCGTCGAGGAGAGTTGAAATAAAGTCAACTTTATGGTAATGAGCTATGACGCGGTTCGGCGGCAAGCAATCAGAATGAAGACGTCCATCGCTTGATAGCAGTTCAGAGAACACAGACCTGTGAACTTTGGTTCCGATTTCCAATTATTTACAATTTTTTCCTACAGGAACATGCATTAAATAAGTTACTGGCGAGTTACTGATGTTCATTAATGTTATATATTTATCTTAAAAAAGCGGGAATCTCACGCGATGTGACAGTACAAAACAGTACTGCTGCTTCAGGATATTTCAGACATATGGACACATATTGGATAAATAGAGCAAAGCCACACGCAACTTGATCTTCCATTGTTGTATGAATTTGATAAGAAGTGCGCAACATTTTCACGCTAGAAACATGTTTTATGCAGGAATGTAACTGATATGCTGCAACGGCTCCTTTAAATATGAGATCAATGTAGCAAGTTTTGACGCTCTCGCCGCAGGAGCTGAAGACAGAGAGCGTTGTCGCCAGGGCGGCCAGAGCGACCTTGGACGCTCTCGCCGCTTTCGGTGTGAACGTACGGTAACGGTTTGATTCAGAATTAGTAAATTAACGATGCAATTACAAGTGAACACCATGTGAGGGCAGTGTTGCACGCAGTACAGTTAGCACAACCAATAGAATTAGAACACACTCTCGGATATTAAAATGCACTTGACTGTAAATGACTGAAAATGAGTCAGGCTGATCACACTGAACGCGCTTTATTAAGAGGCGCCTCTTTTGAATGGTTTACTAACAGCCGCGAGGGTTTTGCGCGCTGCTTATGCGTCCTGCCTGCCTCGCGTTTTAACCGCCTGCTGCCCTTGCGTTTTTGCCGTAGCAGACTCCATACTTTGACACCCTTGCAAAGAGAGGGGACCAGGCTCATTGTTCACATTAACTCCCTTTAGTTTCATTTCTAAATGTCCAAATCAAACAAAATCCGCAGAAACTCACATTATGTCTAAGCCCCTCCCCCAGAGCATTGTCAGTCTATAGCGATCGATGATTGGCTCCTGTACTAATAGGCAGGGCTTTATTCACCATATTGACAGTTTTTCCCATTAAAAAAGATACGAATGACATGTCTTTTGTATTCTATAATCTTTGGTTTTACACAGCGGATGCCCTTCCAGCTGCAACCCAACACTGGGAAACACCCATACACTCCTGCATTCACACACATACACTATGGACAATTTAGCTTATTCAATTCACCTATAGTGAATTGTATAAGAACCTATCGCCCTAACAGCAAGAAGGTCATTGGTTCGAGCCTTGGCTGGGTCAGTTGGCATTTCCGTGTGGAGTTTGCATGTTCTCCCTTATGTTTGTGTGGGTTTCCCCCGGGTGCTCCAGTTTCCCTCACAAGTTCAAAGACATGCAGAACAGGTAAATTGAGTAGGCTAAATTGTCCATAGTTTATGTGTGTTAATGAGAGTGTATGGGTGTTTCCCAGTGATGGGTTGCAGCTGGAAGGGCATCAGCTACATAAAACATATGCTGGATAAGTTGGCGGTTCATTCTGCTGTGTGACCCCTGATTAATAAAGGGATTAAGCCGAAAAGAAAATGAATGAAGGAATGAAAAACAGCCTTGAAAAGATGCTTACATGATGGCTTCATTGTGAGCTCTTTCTGCAAGCACAGCGATCCTTTGCTCAGATTCTTTCTCCAGGTGAACCTTATGAAAAAACAGAAAAGGAAAAACTGAGCGAATGAGGACGATTTTGTTGAAAGGCAATTTACTTTTAGCATCTTTACCTTATTATTTAGGAACTTTTGCTCCATTCTTGCAAGTGTTTTCTTGTGTTCTAGATCTGCATTCTCCACAGCATCTTTCAGCTGTACAGTGGGGATAAACACAGTGTTTTATTGTGATATTTGTGCATGATGTGTGCAAGAAATCAGCAGGATGAACTGTACATTTCTGAGTTCTTGCTCCATTTGAGGCTTCTTTTTAAGGAAGTCATTGATGATCTTCAGCTCATCCTGAATCACGTTGAACTCACTGCATCTCTTCTCGAATTTCTCCTCCAGCTCGTTGATCTTTAGCGTGTATTTTATGACCTGTAAGTTTAATCAGTAGTGTTACAAAAATAATTGTCAAATTAAAGCTAAATATGTATAAAAAAATGGCTGAAATCAACATCTGCCATGTTTATTTTGCAGGCGCATATAGCTAGTCTTAAATTGAACAATAGGGTATATGCTGAGTTACTGTTCCCATACTGATAAACTTCTGGTGACCTGTTATTGTGAGTTTTTTTCCATTTTATATGGTTTCTTTTACAGTATTGATGTTGTAATGTCATTAAAATATAAACAGTTAAATAGACTTTGGCATTCATTTAGTTGCTCGAGCGTAAAACAAGACAAAAAGCCGTTTACTCGAACGTGCCCGTCAGGATCGACAGGCTAGCGTAGAAGCTCCATTGAATATACTGGGGTAAAATAAATGCTCTTATTATAAAGACATGGCGTGGAAAAATGTAACTTAATGCAGTGCTTCTTGTACAATCTGAGACCCACTTTATATCGGATATCACTTAGCCAGTGGAGATTGACGATTTTTAAAGAAAACAGACCTGAAATGTGCCGATTTAGCAATGGCATACAGTTCACCAGAAGCACTTAACCCAGGCATATACACCATTAATCCATGTTAATCCACAGAAGTTTAAAGCACAGTTTGTTTTGGTCATCATTCATTAAAATAGAACGATTTGCTCCCGCTCTGTAATGGCACTCATTAATCTGTCTTGAGAAAGCAAACATACTGTAAAACTACATAAACTTAATTCAACTTAATTCTTTCGTCTTCTTCTACAACTACTTTAAGAAAGCATCTCCTCCTCGACTGTTCATACTACAACCAGCAAACTAACTCCAAACATCAAACTAAACTGAATTAAGTTCTTTATCTTTTCTGATCCGACTTTCAGTTTTCCGAAAACTGACCTGGAAAACTTGGAAAAGTCCCATTGACTTAAACATTGGACCAAACTTTGTGACCTCAAAACTTTGCGCCAGACTGTCATACAGACTTGGGTTGGGCTTATTTAACTCAGACTAATGATCTGCCAATCACTGATGACCTTTCAACTTACTAGCCACACCCTAGCAACCACTTACGGCACCCTAGCAACTGTCCCATAGACTTCCATTATAAAAAAAACTGCCGTTGACTTTAGATTGCACAAACTAATGACATACTAATTTATTCTAGTGATATACTAACAATATACTAACCTATACTAAAAACATACTAACAAACATACTAATCATACTAGCAACATGCTAATTTATACTAGAAACCTGCTAGCAACATGCTAGTTTCATAAGTTTTAGAACTAAGCTAATTTATGTTAGCAACTGCCTAGCAACTACTTAGGACACCCTAGCAACCACCTAGCAACTGCCAAGCAACATCATAACAACACCTTAGCAACCACCTACCAACAACTCAGAACACTCTAGCAACGACCAAGAACACCTTAGCAACCACCTAGCAATACCATAGCAACCACCCAGCAACGTCTTTGCAATGACTTAAACATCTTAGAAACCATCTAGCAACCACCTAGCAATGCACTCAGAACACTTTATCAACTGCCTAGCAACATCTTAGTAACTACCTAGAACACCAATGCCTTATCAACCAATTAGAACTGCCTGGCAATGCCTTAGCAACTGCCTAGCAACCACTCAGAACACCCTAGCAACTGCCTAGCAACACTTTAGCAATGACATAGAACACTCGAGCAACTACCAAACAACACCTTAGCAACCACCTGGGTCACCCTAGCAATGCCTTAACAACCACTAAGAACAACCAAGCAACTGAGTAGCAACACCCTAGCAACCACCTAGCAATAATTTAGCAATTACTCAGAACAACCTAGCAACCGCCTAGCAACGCCTTAGCAACCACTTAGAACCCCCTATCAACCATCTCGCAAGAAACATGCCAATCCATACTAGAAACATGCAACATATGTGTATCTGTGCCAACTGTTTCAAACTTCTTAAAATACTGCAATTATTTAAACTTTAAATTTACTAAAAACTTTCAGGCTAGGCTTTCTCGGGCCACCATAAAGTTTGCCTATGAACTTCACTTTTCTAGTTCTCTGATGATGTCAGTTTGATGGCTGGGCAAAACATACATAGCCACACCTCTCAAACAATTAGTTTGCTGCAAGCGCAGGATGAGAGGAGAAGATCAAAAATAAAACCCCGGCCCTAACTCAATATTCTGCTTCAGTTGAAAATGCGTAATCATACTAAAAATAATATCTGCAGCAACTTTCAGTTCAGCTCGACTTTAAAAAGCCCATAAAACTGAAAATATCATCCCAAGCTGAAAACAAAACACACACAGACAAATGATTTTAATGTTCATAATTTCTTCAGTTTCATTATTTGTGTATTATTGTGATACACTCTTTATTGCTATACACATTTGTAAATGGGATACTATGATACCTAATTATGAGAGCAAATTGTATTTTTACCAAATTCTCTTTTTCCTGAGAGGCCCTTGCTTTCTCAAGATGTATTTGTTGTTCCAGTGCAGTAATCTGAGAAGACAAGAGGAAAGAGTTAAAGTCCTACTAATGTTGTTTCAAACCCATAAGACTTTCAATCTGTCATGCTATGCACTATACTCTCAAGCATGTACTGTATGAATTTAGTGTCTCTGATTCTGTTTTACTAACTGGCATGATAGCTTTTGTGGGAGAATTTTGCTGGCACAATTCAAAATAATAATAATAATAATATTAATAACATTGATAATAATATTAATAATAATAATAATAATAAATAATAATCATTTTCTCTTAGTGTCCAATAGCTCCTCCCTATGAAAGCCCACTCCAGCCACTGAACTGTGAAAAATCAGAAAAAAGTCAGAATTGCGAGTTATTAAGTCAGAATTCTGGGTTATTGGCTGGTTACTAGGCTATTGGCGCCGACGAATTGCGCGGTTTTAAGTCTGAATTGCGATATATAAAGTCTGAATTGCAAGTTATTAAGTCAGAATTGCGAGTTATTAAGTCAGAATTGCAAGGTTTTAAGTCCGATTTGCAAGTTATAAAGTCAGAATTGCAAGTTATTAAGTCTGAATTCTGATTTATAAAGTCAGAATTGCGAGTTATTAAGTCAGAATTGCGAGTTATTAAGTCAGAATTGTGAGTTATTAAGTCTGAATTCTGAGTTATAAAGTCAGAATTGTGAGTTATAAAGTCAGAATTGCAAGTTATTAAGTCAGAATTGTGAGTTATTAAGTCTTAATTCTGAGTTATAAAGTCAGAATTGCAAGTTATTAAGTCAGAATTGCGAGTTATTAAGTCTGAATTCTGAGTTATAAAGTCAGAATTGTGAGTTATTAAGTCTGAATTCTGAGTTATAAAGTCAGAATTGTGAGTTATTGAGTCTGAATTCTGAGTTATAAAGTCAGAATTGCAAGTTATTAAGTCTGAATTGTGAGTTATAAAGTCAGAATTCTTCTTTCATATAAACTGCATCAGAGTTTCTTTTAACAAACAAGGCCTACCAATATGAGAGCCCCCTGATAAACAAATCAATTAATAATGATTTGTACTAGCTGTTAGCAGCCACTGAACTTAAAAAAAAATCAGAAAAAAGTCAGAATTGCGAGTTATGAAGTCAGAATTGCAAGTTAAGTCAGAATTGCGAGTTATAAAGTCAGAATTGCGCGGTTTTAAGTCTGAATTGCGATATAAAAAGTCTGAATTGCGAGTTATTAAGTCAGAATTGCGCGGTTTTAAGTCTGAATTGCGATATATAAAGTCTGAATTGCGAGTTATTAAGTCAGAATTGCAAGTTATAAAGTCAGAATTGCAAGTTATTAAGTCTGAATTCTGATTTATAAAGTCAGAATTGCGAGTTATTAAGTCAGAATTGCGAGTTATTAAGTCAGAATTGTGAGTTATTAAGTCTGAATTCTGAGTTATAAAGTCAGAATTGTGAGTTATAAAGTCAGAATTGCAAGTTATTAAGTCAGAATTGTGAGTTATTAAGTCTTAATTCTGAGTTATAAAATCAGAATTGTAAGTTATTAAGTCAGAATTGTGAGTTATTAAGTCTGAATTCTGAGTTATAAAGTCAGAATTCTGAGTTATAAAGTCAAAATTCTGAGTTATAAAGTCAGAATTGTAAGTTATTAAGTCAGAATTGTGAGTTATTAAGTCTGAATTCTGAGTTGTAAAGTCAGAATTGCAAGTTAAGTCAGAATTGCGAGTTATAATGTCAGAATTGCGCATTTTTTTTTTTATATAATTATTTTTTAGGGGTTTTCACCTTTATTGATAGGACAGTGGAGATATAGAGACAGGAAAGTGTGGGGAGCAGAGATAGGGGAAGGATCAGCAAAGGACCTCGAGACAGGAATCGAACTCGGGTCGCTGCGAGCACCTCGGTGCTATGTGTCGACGCACTAACCACTAGGCTATTGGCGGCGACGAATTACGCGGTTTTAAGTCTGAATTGCGATATATAAAGTCAGAATTGCAAGTTATTAAGTCAGAATTGTGAGTTATTAAGTCAGAATTCTGAGTTGTAAAGTCAGAATTGCAAGGTATTAAGTTAGAATTGCGAGTTATAAAGTCAGAATTCTTCTTTCATTTAAACTGCATCAGAGTTTCTTTTAACAAACAAGGCCTACCAATATGAGAGCCCCCTGATAAACAAATCAATTAATAATGATTTGTACTAGCTGTTAGCAGCCACTGAACTTAAAAAAAAATCAGAAAAAAGTCAGAATTGCGAGTTATGAAGTCAGAATTGCAAGTTAAGTCAGAATTGCGAGTTATAAAGTCAGAATTGCGCGGTTTTAAGTCTGAATTGCGATATAAAAAGTCTGAATTGCGAGTTATTAAGTCAGAATTGCGCGGTTTTAAGTCTGAATTGCGATATATAAAGTCTGAATTGCGAGTTATTAAGTCAGAATTGCGAGTTATTAAGTCAGAATTGCAAGGTTTTAAGTCCGATTTGCAAGTTATAAAGTCAGAATTGCAAGTTATTAAGTCTGAATTCTGATTTATAAAGTCAGAATTGCGAGTTATTAAGTCAGAATTGCGAGTTATTAAGTCAGAATTGTGAGTTATTAAGTCTGAATTCTGAGTTATAAAGTCAGAATTGTGAGTTATAAAGTCAGAATTGCAAGTTATTAAGTCAGAATTGTGAGTTATTAAGTCTTAATTCTGAGTTATAAAATCAGAATTGTAAGTTATTAAGTCAGAATTGTGAGTTATTAAGTCTGAATTCTGAGTTATAAAGTCAGAATTCTGAGTTATAAAGTCAGAATTCTGAGTTATAAAGTCAGAATTGTAAGTTATTAAGTCAGAATTGTGAGTTATTAAGTCTGAATTCTGAGTTGTAAAGTCAGAATTGCAAGTTAAGTCAGAATTGCGAGTTATAATGTCAGAATTGCGCATTTTTTTTTTTTATATAATTATTTTTTAGGGGTTTTCACCTTTATTGATAGGACAGTGGAGATATAGAGACAGGAAAGTGTGGGGAGCAGAGATAGGGGAAGGATCAGCAAAGGACCTCGAGACAGGAATCGAACTCGGGTCGCTGCGAGCACCTCGGTGCTATGTGTCGACGCACTAACCACTAGGCTATTGGCGGCGACGAATTACGCGGTTTTAAGTCTGAATTGCGATATATAAAGTCAGAATTGCAAGTTATTAAGTCAGAATTGTGAGTTATTAAGTCAGAATTCTGAGTTGTAAAGTCAGAATTGCAAGGTATTAAAATAGAATTGCGAGTTATAAAGTCAGAATTCTTCTTTCATATAAACTGCATCAGAGTTTCTTTTAACAAACAAGGCCTACCAATATGAGAGCCCCCTGATAAACAAATCAATTAATAATGATTTGTACTAGCTGTTAGTGTCTTAAATAATCAAGAAATCAGATATTACATAGATTTTAATAAATATTCTCTATGCAGGTAGATAATGGAGGGCCAACTCAAGGTGCAACAGCAGAGGGGAGTGGCTTTGTTGATACTGGCTTTAAGAAAGTTTAAGAAAACCACTTTTTCTAAAACTGGTTTGTTTTTTGAACAGTTTGTTTTTTCTTTTTTGTTTTATTGGTTGGACATGTTATACAATGAGCACTAGAATGTAAGAAAATGCAGTGCTTTAAACTTTCTTTTTACATTGTTACTGTAAAATAAAATATTGTAAATGGTTATACAGAATGATTTTCGGTCTTTCATATTCTTACTGTACATTTTGGAAACAAAAATAAAACAAACAATGTTATTAACAAATGTGTATAGTATTTATATAATATTGTCCTGACTCTAAAGAAGGCTTTCTGGTAAGTAGAACAAAATACCTGCTAAAAATGTTAGAGTATAATATTTCAACAATGTTACCATTAAACGGGATTAGCATTTTTTTTAAAGAACATTTACCTGTCTTTTAAGAGAAGATTTTGGGAAGAAAAATAAAACAATACCTTGAAATGCTATAATAATGTTAGAGCATAATGTTTCAACAATGTTACCACTAAACAGGATTAGAATGTTTACCTATCTTTCAAAAGAACATTCTATAAACTAAACTGAATAAGGTTCTGACAAGGTTACTACCAAATGTGGTAACAATGTTTTAGAGAATGTTTCCTTATCTTTTAAGAGAATGTTCTGGGAAGTGAAATAAAACAATAAACGTTATAATAATGTTAGAGTATAATGTTGCAGCAATGTTACTTTGAAACGTATTTAGTTAATGTTTTCCTACTATCAAAGTGAACATTCTAGGAACCTAAAGACAACCACCCACTAATAATGTTATAAGAATGTTAGAATATAATGTTCCTAAATTGTTACCATCGAATGTGGTTAAGAATGTTTCTAGAAAAATCCTCTTTAAAGACAATGTTCTGGGGAAAAAAAAAACTACCCACTGAAAACAGTAATGCAACTGCTTAATATTCTCAGAATATATAGAGAACAAAAATTTTCTAGCACTTTTCGAGGTTTGACATACCTCTCATTCTGAAACACAAAGTTTCCATTATTTCAATGTTTATATACTCAGAAGTTTGATATAAACTTCTTTTAGAAATGGTGCATAGGCTTTTTTGTTGCTGTTTTAGAATATGACATGTAACACTAAGCTTTTTTTCAGATTTACAAAATAATAAGCTTAATAAAAACCTTCTCTTCGTTTAGCATGTCTTTGTCCCTCAGCACAGCTATGATTTCGATGCTGCTCTTTTCAGTGTTGTGTTGTTGGTCGTTGAGTTGTTTGTTGGTTTTGTTCAGTCGTCGTGCAGCTTCACAGTACTCAACGCGCGCGCTCTCCGTCATGTCACAGCGCGCCTCCCACAGAGCCGCGTTCGCCTTCGCCTTTTCCAGATCAGACTCCTTATCCCGCTTCGACTCCTGCTTTCCATCCTTCTTTCCTTTGCTAAATTAAAAGAGGATGAAAGGCAAATGACTGCACAATGTGTTTGAGGTGTTTCAGGCTGCAGGGATTAATTTTACAATATTATCAAGTAAAACTATGCAGATAACTTTTCAGTGTTCATAAAAGGTGAATTCGCGTTTTTTTACAACAAAACTATAGAATGAACAGGAAGAACAATATTTGTTTTGTACTCACCCTTTTCCTTTCTTTCCCTTCTTTCCTTTTTTAATAGGCATTTCTCCCTGTGCTCAGTTTGCTCCGTTCGTTCGTGCAGGTCAGGATGAGTTTATTTATAACTGTTGCCTTGGAGACCGTCACCTCACACGTCACATCCTACTAAGTTCATGTCTTTCCATGAACTCACAATTTTTGAAAATAAAATAAATTACAGACGACATCATAGAAACTCATCCATTATCTTTTAATCATTTTAGTGTATCTTTTGTTACTCTGACCGCAGGCTATGGGGGTGCAAGAATACTGGGCGTCTCTGAAAATGGTTAAATAAAATAATAATAAATATAAATAAAATGAAATCAAATGGTTTTAACAAATATTTTAATGCATATTATCCAAATAAGGGGCGACGCTGTGGCGCTTTAGTGCTGTTGCCTCACAGCAAGTAGGTTGCTGATTCGAGCCTCGGCTGGGTCAGTTGGCGTTTCTGTGTGGAGTTTGCATGTTCTCCTCGCGTTCGCGTGGGTTTCCTCCAGGTGCTCTGGTTTCCCCCACTAGTCCAAAGACATGTAGTACAGGTGAATTGGGTAGGCTAAAATGTCCATTGTGTATGAGTGTGAATGAGTGTGTATGGATGTTTCCCAGTGATGGGTTGCAGCTGGAAGGGCATCTGCTGTGTAAAAAATGTGCTGGAAAAGTTGGGGGTTCATTCCGCAGAGGCAAGCCCAGACTAATAAAGGGACTAAGCCGAAAAGAAAATGAATGAATGAATGAACATCCAAATAAGACATATATATAACAGTATAAAAGGAGACAATTCTGATTCAGCCTGATCTCGCGAGAAAAAGTACGTATTTTACGATGTGGCAGTTTAGTGGCTAATTCAGTCGTAAGAAATTGTACTATTTTAAAAAGGAGGCGTGGCACCTAACCCCACCCATAAACCCAACCGTCATTGGGGGATGAGCAAATCGTACTAAAATGTATGAATAAGATTGTACAAATTTGTACGAATTAGCCACTAAATAAAAAAGTTACGAATTGCTGTGAGTTTGTGTAGGTAATTCTAATCACTGTCATTTTAAAAAGTACAAAGAGAAATCTTCCGGAAAGAGAAGTTGTAACATTATCGGTAATTTGCTGGAACGCAACGCTGTGTGAACGCAAAAGGAATCACTTCATAATACGCTGACGTGAGACTTTACTTTAGCCAATAAGAACATGCAGACGCATTTATGTACGCACAGTTTATGAAAGTAAACGTCTTTGAATATCTTTGACACATTTAGCTGCAAGATGGAAGTCAGATAACATTTCTATGTTCCTTCTTAATGCCAACTGTAAAATTATCAATAAAATGCTTATGAAAAGCCACTGTTTACATTCAAGCTCTGACGCACGTGCACGTGAAGCAGCCGGTGAGCAGCAGCACACACATATTATGTACATCTCGACATGCGAAAGTGTTCCTCCATTTGTTTTCATTGAAGTGGTTCACAATATTTATCCATCCACAAAATTTGTAATGTAGTCAAATGTTTACAAATACAAAGCCAGCCGTTTAGAGGTTATTTCTGGTTAATGTCAGAATTTACCATTATTTTGGAATGGATGTGTGAACGGTCTTTTCCGTAAAAATTCTGTAACTTCCATGCCTGTGTAAACAGCGCTTTTTTAAAATTTATTGGTTAAGTCGTTACAGAAATTTTCCGGATATTCACCAGTATCAGTGTGTTAAAGGTGCTAATAACTCAACAATATGGTTCTTTGTCTGCTATAACTCCACTCAAATTTCCTGAGGCATGAACTGAAGCTGAAGCTGACATTGTAGATACTGCAGAGTGAATATTGCGTATGATTACATTGCGATGTCGATGCTGAAACAATATATTGTGCAGCCCTAATATATATATATATATATATATATATATATATATATATATATATATATATATATATATATATATATATATATATATATATATATATATATATATATATATATATATATATAAATAAAAAAGATGCACAAACAAAAGCTCTTACAAATCTCTGCTCATTTATTTGCTTTGTAAAAAAAGTATTATAACAACAAAACAGACATTATAAAATCCGACTTGCGTTTATATAAAATCCAAATAAAACTGCAACTTCATAAATAATACACATTCACAACTATATTCCGTCTAAAATAAGAAAGAGCACGTATATAACGTCACACATTCATTATAAAACATGACCTCATATAAAACAGCTGAAGGACCAGACACATTAAAAAATACTAAGGCTTTCTGTAATTTCGAGTAGATTATTAGTTAAGATCACTGCCAGGGTGCTCGCCTTCCCAACACACGATTGGTGACTTTCTGTAAAAACAAGGATGCATTAGAAATATGAATCAAATTGCTGATGTATTCCTGAAATGATTGAGACAAAATTGATTGAAATGAGTCTAACTCTCTGTATACCTTGTTAAAGAGCTGAGCAGTGAGGCGGTATGAGCGATACTCTGCCCGTCTCTTTTCCTCTTCTCTTCTCTTCTGGACCTCAGGAAGTTTAGCGTATTTCCTGGAGGAAAACACAATCACTTGGCTATTGAAATAAATAAAGAAAAACTTTAATATTTATATAAAATAGTTGAGGGCGACACAGCGGCGCAGTAGGTAGTGCTGTCCCCTAACAGCAAGAAGGTCGCTGGATCAAGCCTCGGCTGGGTCAGTTGGTGTTTCTGTGTGGAGTTTGCATGTTCTCCCTGTGTTCGCGTGGGTTTCCTTCAGGTGCTCCGGTTTCCCCCACAAGTCCAAAGACATGCGGTACTGGTGAATTGGGTAGGCTAAACTGTCCGTAGTGTACGAGTGTGAATGAGTGAGTACGGTTGTTTCCCAGAGATGGGTTGTAGCTGAAAGGGCAACCGCTGCGTAAAAACGTGCTGGATAAGTTGGCGGTTCATTCCGCTGTAGCGACCCCGGATTAATAAAGGGACTGAGCCGATAAGAAACGGAATGAATAAAATAGTTAAATCGGCAGCAGACCACACTCCTCTGACTGAGTCTTAATTGAATCAAATCAGATATTAAAAATAAGAAACCTTTAAATAAAAACACACTCAAACACATTTGTTTAAATGGTTTAGGGCAGGGGTCACCAACCTTTTGGTAACTGAGAGCTACTTCTTGGGTATCGTTTAATGTGAAGTTTGATACACTTCCTAATAACAAATTTGCTCAATTTACTTTTAATTATATGTTTTTATTAATAATTAATGATATTCATCTATGTGAAGACACTGATCAAGTTAATGATTTCTCACAATAGTTGTCAACATTGATTGGAAACAGATAAATATCAATATGCAACACTTCATTTGTCTGAAATAGTTTTTTTAAGGTTTTTTAAATATATAACTTAATGTCATTTTCAATTTTACACCAATGCAAGTGTGATATAAAAAGAATAGCTACAAAAAATATTAGATGCAGTTTACTGGTATGTGGTGCTATGGTAAGCTAATTTTATAACAGGCCCATGGGCAACTCATGTGATCCTCGCAGGCCCCACGTTGGTGACCCCTGGTTTAGGGGGACTTTACATAGCCAATTATGCTTTTGCTATAAAAACAGCCTATCCCCTAACCCAGGGCTATTCAATTAGTTTGTCATTGGTGGCCAGTTCATAAAAAGCATCCCAAACGAAGGGCCGGAGAGATACGACTTGCAATATGAGTGAGGACACAACAGCATATAAGAGGCCATATGCTGTATTTCTGCTCCTTAAGACACCCTTGTTGGCTTTTTCTACATTAAAATGTTAATATATTGTATTTTGAAACTACATAACTTCACTGCATTGTACAATACGCTTTAAAAAAAAATTTTTTTTTACAAACATTCAAATGTTGTATTTCAAAGCACAACAAAAGCAGTGCTGAAGTAGGCTTCTTCTACATTCAGACACATTCATACGTTTTAAACTGCTTAACTATTATGGATGCAACAATTATAGATGTTGGTTGCATGAATATAGTCTGAAGAATAATGACGGTTATCACGACTAATGTAAATTTAAGCTTTATATTAGGTAAGAATTTTAGATAAACTATTGTTATCATCTGCGTTCATACATACATAATAATTTTAATAATAATTTGTCTAACGTATCTTTTGTTTACATTGCACTGAAAGCCACGCAAAACTCTCACCGCTACAGCGCGAGATGTTTTCTACTGCAATCGGAGCGAAAGCCGCAAACACGTTGCTCTGCTTGCACGTGCATATTGGCATATATTCTTACATTAGAAAGAGCAAACTTGCTTGCGACGACTCGACGCTATAGTTAATCCAGTGTGCGTGTGTAGGTCTATTAGCCTCGGTATAAGCTTGGAACTTTAAATTAGCACACAGTTGGAACCTTTGTTTAATTGCAGCAGTTTCTTTCCGTGCAACAGAAACGCGGCGTAGACAAGCATTTACGATTAATTAACCATGACGAATTAAAGCGTAGTTAATAGTGAAATCGGCTAATCGTTGCAACCCTAATGCCACATTCACACAGGGCGTCAGCGTCAACGCTTCACATTCACTTTGAATGGGTGACATCAGGCAATGCCGAACTGCATTGAAGATTTATCGGCGCCGCTTCAGGGTAGAGTTTAGATCGGATACGCGGCCAGACGGAAGGCGATATGTACATTAAATTAAAGTCAAAAATTTTACGACACTATATAACAATAATTAATATTTTTACAGTACTATGACGGTTGGATTTAGAATTGGGTTGGGGGTAGGCGTTAAAAAAACTATTTATTGGGTAATTTAATAAATAATATAAATAATTCTCGTTAACTTCCGGCCGCAACCATATCTGATACAAACCCGCTTCAGTGGCGATGCTCGCAGCAGAAGTTGAGATTTTCTCAACTTTTCAAGCACATATGGAAACATCAGCCAATCAGATTGCTGTACGCAAATACACCAGCTCAGATAGTGGCAGATTGCGGACTACTTTCACTGGTTAACGCTGCTATGATGATCCTATCAGGCCCAACTTCAGACACACCCTCTGTCAGGCGTTGACGCTGAAGCCCTGTGTGTATCAGGCATACTAACGATATCAGTGCATTGTACAAAAGGCCTTTTCTACAAACATATCCAAATGTTTTCAGCTGCCCGCTCCACTCGCTTAATGCCACTTGACTCACTCTCAGTCTTCAACTGCAGCTCATGCTGTATTGAACAGACGCACATCACTTGATAACTTTAGCTACCGTTTTTCGACTCAACTAAATCTCTTTTTGATGTCTTGGTCACTATTTGGAGACCCAGAACCAATTGCCTTGGAGGAAGGGTTCGGCCCACCGGTCGCCAATTGAATAGCCCTGCCCTAACCTTATTAGTACTGTATGTAGTAAGGTAAAAACCATTGTAATACTCATGTTGTTACATACATCTGTCCTCATAAACCATGTTTTCAAGATTACACTCACACATGTATCATTACCTTCTGAGTCTGTCTGTCCTGTCTATTCTCTGACTGTGTGATTTCTTCCCTACCCAACTGAAATAAATAAAACATTGAAGAAATCAAGAGATGCTGTTTTTGGGCAAGATTTACTCTCAGGGAAATAAAAAATGTTTACTGTCAGCACTTGCAACAGAAAAAATGCGTACAACATGATTTTTTTTTCAGATGACCCCAATGCATATGCATTTCCAAGAGTTTCCATTTCAGATGTAAAACTGATCAGAAAAGAATATTTAAATGTTGATTTACTAATGTTTGCAACAGACTTTGCTGAAGGGTCCCCACTTAACCAACTTCCCTGACATTCACTGATAAAATTGAATTTCCTTGACCTATGACGAACAGAAAAAACTGGGCTAGGTTATGAAAATGAGTGAAACAAAGTGATTAGAAAATGATACGGTAGAGAAAAATTACAGATGCAATTGACCCTTCACTAAGCCACACCCGAAAACCGCCACACACCAATCATGGCTTAGTAACTGTAGCTACGCGAAGGAGGTCTGTCAAGCTTTCGAGCGAGGGAAACAAGCCAAAGCATTGTGCATATGGATTGTGCAAATCTGATGCCCAGTAAAATTTCCTAAAAGTTTGGGCGGGGTGGTGGAATTTTTTCCCTTTTACAAAACCTAAAACGCAAGGGGAGAAATGCCAGCGTGGATCAAGCTGTGTGAGGGGCGCTAAAAGAGTGAGGTTAAGTTGGTTTTGTTTTTAACATTCCTGACACATTTAGTGATTGACGGCAATAACTCACACACCTCTTACCCTGAAAGATCTAAACTGTGTTTTCAAAAAAAATACAAAGCAGATTATGTTTCCCAGCTGTTTTTTTCTTTTTGTTCGCTCAATATTATGAGCATTGCTCCATTTCAGCCCTCGCAATAGCTGTGCAGCGACCACAATCCAGTCATATTTCCATCTGTTTCAAGCTACGAATATTTAAAATGACATATCAACAGAACAAAACTGAGATGTGATTACAATCTGAGCACTTGCAATCAACATACTTCACCCGCAGCTGTTTTTCAGTCATTTATAACCCTCATGTCCATATCAGAGCTACAATTCTCTGATTTTTTCATCCGTCTTTTGGAGATTTAGTCATTGGTGACGATGTTATAGCGGGTTAGTGTCTGCTTTAATATTTGGTGTCTGATTAACATTTGCTGGAAGAGAAAATCTATTTGTTCACTTCTTCTATAAGTACTTTCATTTTCTTGTCAATTTATTTATTTTTCCACTTAACTGCAAATTAGAATAGAAACAGTATAAAGAGCACACAAACATACTGACAGTTATAGGTAATGTACATTGTTATGGGTCAATGATGCTAATATTTGGCACAAATCTATCGATTTCCCCTTTCTGGCCTTTTCTTGCTATGAATGAATTGTGGTAGCCATGGTAGAAGCACTGTCCATGCGTGTTTCCTCATCAGTTAGTAACGCTGTACTTTATTGTACAACAATTCAATTATCAGGCTTTTTAGTTAAAAAACAGCTAGGCTAGTTTCCTAGCTTCAATTTTGATTAAATTATTTTCTAATCGGTTGCCTATTATGTCATGAATATACCCCTGTAATGTATACTGCAGTCTTTTTTTCTCTTGCTTTCTAAGATATCTCACCTGTTCGCCAAAAATGACTAATTATATCCCTGGGAATGTCTAACACCGACGTGCCAGGCATGAAAGCTTGACAGGCGTAACTACAGTAACTAAGGAGGGCGGGGCTAGATGATCGTTCTCCTAAAGGCACGCATATGCTCCGGCGCAGCCTAAGCATAGATGCAAAACCCTCTCCGTGGCTGTCGGCGACGCTGATGCATACCTCTCAAAAAATGTAACTAAACATCGCATGTAGTGGGCTGAGGTGAGAGCAGCGCGAGCCCAATAGAGCAGGTGTTTACAAGTGTGGAGTCCCGTGAAGGAGCTCCAGATGGAAACTGTTGTTTTGTGTTTACCTTATGATTAAAGTTGTTGCTTATCCGCAGATTCCCGCCTCAAAGTGAGCGAGTTTGGGCCATTTGTGCAATAAGGTAGTGCTCAGAAAAAAACACCAGCGAAGAAACTTGACACAGAGGAACATAAACACCTCACTGCCCGCTAGCGTTTCAGAAGTGTTATTGAAGAGAAACACAAACAGAGAGTAGAAGTATAAATGCTCGACTACAGCAATTGCATGTGCCGTGGGTCATGCCGATCACTCGACGCAGAAGTATAAACCAGACTTAGTTGTCCACTTAAATTAATTTTTTTTGAAAATATGACGCAACCCCCCACAGAGCTCGCTGAGGACCCCTTGTGGTCCGGGAACCGTTGCATTACTGATGACGAGTTCAGACTGCATGATTTTAGCCTCGATTTTTACTCGCCGACAGGTTTTGAGAAATCGCCGACAAATTCCTGAAATCACAGGCAAATCGGTGCTCGTGCACGTGAATGACAATCACAGTATGAACTATCAAAGACGCCATCTGAGAGAATCGCAAATGAGTCTCTGATGCCTGTGAGATATTTGGCGTGCTAAATATCTGGATCTGTCGGCGATTCAAATCATGCCGTATGAAATTAATTTTCACTGAAAATAACATCGGTATGCGATCACAGCCCATGAAAGACCAGCATTCACTTGTGTGAGTGTACCTCCAGGCCAGCGGGAGGTTGAGGGAGAAGTTAAAAGCTCTCATTTTCAGTTTATTTGAACCCAAGAAATAGAGGAAAAACTAGTGGAGGTTTGACAGAAGCACCAGTGTCTGACGTTTCATACAGAAAGTTAAAAAAGAAAGTTGAGGAGAAATTGCTAATTCCCTTCAAACCCAGGTGAACAAATATGTACATTTTCTACCCCATTAAAGGCTTCTTTCTCATTATGTAGTTAATAACAAAAGATATACTACGTGTTTTTGGCTGTGAGATGTAGTTTGGACGAAGTTGTCAGCAATTCTACCTATTGTAAAGTCATGCAATGTGAAAGCCCCGGTCGCCAATCCATCTTGTAGTGTAAACAAAGCAGCAACAAAACGTTAGCCCAGATAGTCATGCAGTGTGAAAACATCTGTGACACGACTACTTTGAAAATCATGCAGTCTGAACTTGGCATAAGTTCAAGTTGTCACAAACTTTTGATCACATGACCTTGAAAATTAATAGGTAATGGCAAATTCTGAAGTTATGTATTTCCGTGACCACCGAACTGAACCAATAAAATTGTGAAGCATTACACCCCTAATACATACATACTATTTTGTTAACATGTTCTGTGTTTGTTAAAATAACATGAGCTTGGTGATCATGTATACATACTCTCTGGACCTTTGGACCATCTCTTTTCTTGGAACGACTCGTTTACGGGGTACTGGAGCTAAAGAAAAAGTGTATTTTAGTTAAATGATTCATATTTTACACATAAGTTGAATCAAGCTTGTATAATAGATACAGAACTGACTCGTGCTACAAATAGTTATTCTTAGAGAGTAAGTTGACCTGCTCTGAGTGGCCGTGATGGTGCGGGGAAGTTGAAGAGCTCTTCTCTCTCTCTGTTGAAAATGGCCTGTAACCTCCGTTCCTCAACCAGCAACCCCAGCCGCTTCATTCGCTCCCGAGAGCGAGACACAAACTCTGGCCGATGGAGCTCCAGAGCTTCCTGTTGGAAAAGCGTCATGCAAATGTACAAAGTTATACTAAATTTAACAAAAAATCAACAGTAAATTATGTAGGGTGACACTTCACCTGAACGGGTGTTCAGAAGACTGTAATGAAATCTTTGACTAACAACCTTTTTTATTTTGACTGTAATGCAATAATGTGCCCCTTTCGTAGTAATTATTGTGAAAAGCACTTTACAAATAAACTTGGATTGAATTAAATGTTAACAGAGTGAATTAAATCATTTAACAGAGTAATGACAGTTTAAATGAGACATTGTAATGACAAATACAGTATGTTCCACTTAAAAAAGTGAAAAAAATATTCATGTCAATATAATGGCCTCATGACAGTCATGTTTATGACAGGTTTATGACAAGTTTTTTTTGTCAATATCCCCTTTCACACATACAGACCTTTCTGGAAAATTTCTGGCAGTTTTCTGGAAAGGTCTGTACGTATTAACAGGTCCTATTTGAAAATTCCGGTAAATTCGTTTTAGCAATTTTCCAGAAAGAGAAGTTGTAACATTACTGCTAATTTGCCGGAATGCTGTTCTGTGTGAACACGGAAAAAAGATTGCCGGAAAGAGCGCGTTCTTGCTTAGAATGCTGACGTGAGACGTCTACTGCAGCCAATCAGAATATTCAGACACATTCACATCTGCGCTGTTTATGAAAATAAAAGCCTTTAGACACTTTTCCAGACAGATTTAGCTGCTAGTTGTTGGTCAGATAACGTTTCTGTTCCTTCTTAATGCCAACTGTGTAAAGATTATGGATAGAATGCTTATGATAAACCACCGTTTGTTTACCTTTAAGCTCTGCTTGACGCGTGTGCACGTGATGTGCTGAAGTGCTCTGATGAGCGCCAGAACACACATTATGAACTCGACATGCGAAAGTGTTCTTCCATATGTTTTCATCGAAGTTGTTCACAATACTTATCCATCCACAGAATTTGTAATGTTGTCAAATGGCACATCTGCCTTTGGATGTCTCTGGGAAAAAAACTGCTGCATGAATGCTAAAGCTTTAATTAAAAGGGAAACCATAATGCCGGATTCCTTTTACGTTTACTAATACAAACGCAGCTGTTTTGAGCCAATTTCTGGTTAATGATGTCAGAATTTACCAGTATTTTGGAATGGATGTGTGAACGGTCTTTTCCAGAAAAATTCCAGTCCATGCCTTTATAAACAGAGCTTTTTTTAATTTACCGTTAAAGTCGTTTCTGTATTTTTTTTTTTTGAATATTTACCGGTATCACTGTGTGAAAGGGGCTTTTGTCAAGTTGTCATGACAAAGACGAAGACCAGTTGTGTAGTATTTGTTTTTGTCAAGTTGTCATAACAAACAATGTCATCTTTGCATTAAAAAGGACAACTGAGTAAATGACACTTAATGACAGTTGTCATTAGCATGCATAAAATCTCATTCATATTCTTGACGTGTTATGTTTTATGAACACCCCTTCAAGTAAAGTTTTACTATATGAGGTTACAAACCAAACAAACAGGATCCAAAATGAACACTGAGGCCCAATCCCAATTCTACTCCTTAGCCCTTCCCTTTACCACGTTCACGTGAAGGGCTAGGGGTGTCCTTATTCTTTTTAGCTTGAAGGCGTAGGGCTAAGGGGAAGGGGTAGATAGCCCTTAAAACTGAGATTTTTCAGGACCACGCTTGAAACCAATAGGTAAGATAATTTCCCAAAATACACCAGCCACAACAGCTGCACCCAGAAGTCAGGTGATGCTAATGTGGCAATAAGATCAAAACTATACTGCGGATTTACACAGTGGCAACATTTATTAATGTAAACACATAAAAACAACATTAACATTATAGCAGACACTGTAAAAAGCTCATTCCCAGCCACTAGACTTTTCTCACAGGGGATTCAAGTGTCATCAAGTGTCAGAATGTTGGGAGACTGCTGTACAGGAGCTGTTGTTATTTTAGCGTTTTTTTAAAAGCATGACAGTAAAACATAAACACTGTTATGAATACATTAAAACATGTGCTTGTTTGTTATAAGAAATCATAATAATGACTAAAAATACAAATTTGAGGATCTTCTGACTTCCGGGTGCAGCTATCCTGCCGTTGTGGCTGGTGTATTCTGGGAAATTTTCTTACCCCTTGATTTCGAGTGTGGTCCTGAAAAATCTTTGTTCGGAGGGCTATCTACCCCTTCCCCTTAGTCCTACACCTTTAAGCTAAAGAGAATTGGGACACCCCTACCCCATAGGGGCAACAGGAAGGGCTAAGGGGAATTAGGATTGGGCCTAATATGACTGCAGCTTTGGAATGAAAAAGTTAAAGGGTCACGCAACACTAAAACACATGTTTTGAGCTGTTGACAGTCATATATGTCCCACGCTGCTAAAAACACTATTAGGACACATATATTTCACTAAAAAGTGAAAACTGGTTATTTTTGCAAATTCGTACATCCGGTTTAAAACAAATTTTTGAAGCTGCGTCACGGCCATGAGATCTTAGCGTGTATTCCAGCGTGTAGACTGGCCGTCTGTACCTGGGAGAGCCTTATTACATCTCTGAGTGTGCTGCATTAATGCATGAGTAAGGCTTGGGTCAAACCAATCAGTTCGCTCTATCGTGCAACTTCATTAATATTCATTAATGTTACAGTGTTCAGACGGCAGAGAGATGCTGCGTTGTGTTGCCAAAACAAGCGTGCAGTGTTGCTTTCTAACTATTACACCGAGTTAGCACATGTTAGCACCACAATCAAACTTACCGTTGTGCAGGATTTTCACCGCATTTTGTGACAGGAATAACACACACGGCTTTCAGATGCTACCTGCCGAGTGCATCTAAGTATCTGGGAAATGTCGAGGATTTTTTCCACTCGTTCGCCGTGTGGTATCAAAGATAGCATGAAAAATACAGGCTTAGAGCAATCCCTCGAATCAAATATCTCGTTTGTCACGAGGGGCATGAAAGAAATTTCCTGAATGAAAGAGCCAAACTGTAGTTAAAGTCCACCATTTAATAATTTGGCAAATAATATAATTACTGATGTCCAAGTAAACACAGTCCGTCTTTCTCCCCTGTGTGTGTGTGTGTGTGTGTCTTGACAGAAAATCCGCGCGTGCCCAAATCAACACTCCCATTTTTATGCCAATTTTTTACAGAGCCTCCCTCTTTTGCTCCTCTGACACTCCCCCTAAGCAGAGCTGGACACGCCCACTTTCCTGACTTTTTCCAAAGTAAAGGTGTGAAAACACCCTACTAAAGCAAGGGGGTTTCATGGCCCTTTAAAGCTATCCTTGGTGTGAGCAAGCTTCAGAACTCTGGCATGTTGATGGAATAAATCATTAAAAAATCACCTGCAGTGAAAGACGAACAAGAGCTGAGGTTTTGTCACTGATGTCCGTCTCCATCGCTGTTCTGGTTTCTGTCTGCCTCTCCTGCTCTTGCTGATTCTGTCTCTCCCTTAACGGTTCTCTGCTCGATTCTCTCCAAGGTCGAGTCCTGCTGTAAGGCTCAAACCAGGCTTGGCTTATGGAAGGTTCTGACTCGTTCTGTGGCTGGTTTTCCTTGCGGCCGTCAAACTTCAGCTCATCAGCAGAAACAAACCATGACACACCTTGAAGACAACATGATATTTAAAAGAGCAAGAATTAAGCCTTGATCACACACCAAATGGGCTTTTTAAGCTGAGAACTGCTTTTACTGAATGGTCTACTAATGGCCGCAAGCATTTTAAGTGCTGCTTATGCACCCTGCGCGCCTTGCTTTTTGACAGTTAAGAGTTAAAAAGTCAACTCTGAGCGAAAAAAGCGACTATGTCAGTCACTGTTCATTCTCCAATCAAATGAAAGCAGAGGCAGGGTTTCCGCTGTGGCAGCAGTGTTTCTGGTGTCAAGATGAATACGGAGACTTTTAAAGATGGAGGCTAGTGGTCACTATTTTGAGTTATCCAGAGCGGTATGGCTTCACAAATCTTAAATATCACAACATTATTAAATATTACAATTGTAATAATATCAACAGCAGCGCTCGCGCACAATACGCAGATGATTCAGTCGTTGCCTAGCAAAAAGGCAACAAAAAAAAGGCAGTGTAGTGCACCTCATGCACAGAAAAGCACATTCGGTGTGATCAGCCCTAAAAAAACAGCAGTAAACAGGTTTGTGTGTGTGTGTTTGTGAACATGTAATATATACCATGCGGGTAACGTGTCCGCACACTCTTATTGCTGGAGTCTCTCTTCAGAGCTGTTTGGATTGGTTTAGCTGTGGAGGCAGTAGGGATGGGAATACCATTCTGAAGGCCACTGCCAAATTTGTTTGATGAAGAGACATTTTTGAAAGCACCTGGAGAGGGAAATACGGTGCCTACATCTCGAGTGTGCTTTCGTGTGCCGTTTATCACAATCTCCAAATCACCTGCACAAAAAATAAATATAAACAGTGTACAAAAACTCAGACGATGCCTTTCATTGCTGGGAATCACTTTTTCTTTTTTTTCTCTCTCAGGTTGTGTTGTGGAAAAAAGTTTGTCGTTGTGGTACTGACCTGCCTGCACACTTTTGCTGACCAGTTTGACTTTTGACTTTTTGGTTTTAAGGCTGTAGACGCCTCTTTGAGAATGGTGGAATGAAGTGCTTGAAGATGATAAAGAGCCAGCAGAGACCTGCAAGAACAACAGATGATTAGACAGCTTATTAAACAATCTGTATCTTCAATCAATATGTTCAGGGTATTTGCAGGAATCCTAAAGTTATTACAAAACCTTTTTAAGACTTTTAACAGACCTTCCCAGAATATTTTAACACCTTGTTGCCACTTTAAGTTCTAATCAGTATCAAACCTTTAACTTAATAAACAGTTGCTAATAAATAGTTGTAGTTAAATGAATCAATAAAGCATAACCATTCAAAAGAACTCAGATAAGCTCAGAAGAAACAAAGCTTGAAAGAATAAATTACCCGGTTGTTTTCAGCCACTGTCTAAACTCGTCTTTCTCCAACCAGGAGTACGCAAACGTACATTTTTCCATTTTGCTGTCTACTTCACTCAATAGTTTTGCTAAATGTGGAGAGCACCAGATCATCTTCCAGCGTTTGTCGCAAATTAAGTGACATCACCTGGACGAAGGAACTTGGCCGGACATGTCCCGAACCAATCGCATGGATCGAGCATATTAGGAGGAAAATAAATATATTTATGCTTTTTTGGAGTCAAACACTATGTACAACGCTTGAAGAAAATTAAAGACCTCGTAAAAACGCGATGAAGAAATTTTTATACCTTTTAAAGGCCTTAATTTTCTCTTTTTATACTTTTAAGACCTCTTTGACACCCTGATCTATCTTTTCTTTCACCAAACAAAACCGTTAACATTAGAGCTTATCGATACTTCAGTCTTTTATAATGTAGCACCGATAACGATAAAGTACTGAGTTTCGGTACCCAGCCCTAATTGTGCTTACTGCTCTAAAATAAATTCTTTTTAAATGTCTGAATAAAAAAAAAACTTTTCCCCTATTGAACACAATATATTTGATTTTAAGAAATATTAATAATATTTTGGATCCTATTTTGGGTCCTATTTTGGTGGAGACAGTAGCTATGTTTCCATCCAAAAATGCGAATAAATTTTATGCACAAAACTGAATTATCGCATAAAATTTGTGCGAATGAAGCATCGTTTCCATCCAACGAGTCAAAGCAAACAAAATCGTCACTTCCTGATTAACTGGTGCCAAATATCAACAGTAAAAACTGCATTTGCTGCAGTAGGAGAAGCTGCATCAATCTTTTCTAAATGAATGCGCCTCAGAAGACAATCCTGACAAGCAGTGAGCGCACAGTGGCGTTTGAAGGTGTCAGACGCGGAGCACAGGCGCTCTCGATTCTGGAGGTCATTAATAATATAATAACATTAATACTGAAATGGTAAGGCGTTTTATAATGACCAAAACAACATTTCAGATGTTTTATAATGTGCTCAGCCTGACGTTTTATCCATTCACAAACATTTTAAGCATCACATGATCTCTTTTAAGAAAATCACATGACCTTTTTTAATGCGCATGCTGGATTTTGTGCGGTATAAGTGTTTCCATCGCAGTTTATGAGCATCTTTTCTTATCGAATAAAAAGTTTATCCTACCCAGTTAGGGGCATAAGTTGTTTATGCGCATTTTCAAAATGTATGCGCATCATAGCGTTTCCATCAACTGTTTTTTTCTTATGCGCATTTGCAAAATATAGGTGGATGGAAACATAGCTACTGTTGTCCTAAAGAAATCAAATAAAATATTAGTAAAAAAAAAAAAGTACATATATAAAGTAGGAATAGTTCAGTAGTTTGATGGCTAACTACCATTTTTTTCTAGTCATTTTCCCCACAGGAAAATAAAAGTTCAAAAACAACTGCAAAAAAAAGCTTATGTCCACATTGCAAAATAAGATCCCTCTTGCGATTAATTATTCAATCTGGCTCCTAATCCTATAAACCTCTGATCTTACAAATTACTCACTGCATTCCAGAATAAAGATATGTTTTTTTGTATTTGTTGACCACTTTTCAAATCACTTGACTTGACTATATTTAAAAATACACACAATAAATTCAAAGCAGAAATGAAAAGTCTTACTGTGGAGTCATCTGTATTGTCTGTTGTGACAGAGACTGCAGCATCTTTAGTACTTGGTTTCCTTCGACTTGTTTTCTTTGCGTTGATGCTGTTGTAAAGTCTGAGCAAGCTGCCGTCGCTTTTCATTCCTTCACGTGCGACTCTGTGAGCTCCAAAAGCTCTCTGCAGTCTCTCTGTGTCCACAGTGGAAACACTACTGCTGGTCTCCACAGACTCGTCTCTCTCAGCAGGACAGAGATGCACTTTGCCTTGTCCTTCATCCTGAACCCACGCATGCTTTGGAGGCGCTTTTAACTGCACTCTTTCTCTTTGCTCTTCTTCTTCTTGGTTTCTCATCCTGTCATACTCTCCATTGCCACTGTCTGATGACTGCTGAACACTATGGTCTGTTGGAGTGGTGTTGTGAATGAGACGAGACAAGCGCTCCAGTCTATCTAGCAGAGACGTCTCTCCGTCATTGATGGATCGGGACTCCTCTGTGCTCCATTTTTCATTAAAGCGACGCCACAGCTGGTCTAGCGAACTTGTGATCTCCAGGCTAACATCATGAGGTGTTCTGTCCTTCCCTTTCTTGTTCCCCCTGTAGGGTCTTCTGTTTGGCTGAGAAGATGAGTAGTGTGGTTCTCGAGGTATTTTAGGCTCCTGTGTGGTGCTGTTATGAAAATGGACATGGTCCATACTGTTGTCTGCCTCCATGTTCAGGGGGACAAAATGGTCTTCCTTATCGTTATACTCTGCATCTATGCCAACAGTCTCCATGTTCTTCTTTGAGACTTCGGGAGCGGTACTGACAAAAGTGCTTGCTGATTTTGGAGGACAATCTCCACTGGAAACTGAAAGCAGGACAGATTAAAATGTGTTTGTGTTGATAATGTGTTATAGTAACAGTCCATGGCAGTCCAAGTATTACATAGATTCTTTGTAAAGCACCAATTCGGGTTCATGCACTTTTTTGGCGATAACTTGAACTTACTGACGTATCCAAGATGCTACCAATTTTTATTATGTTTTTATCAATTTCAGAGCTTTTTTGTAAAAATGTTAACTCTGCTAATGTAGAATCATCAAATACTATTGGATATTCGTCTATCTTTAAGTAATCTGGTCTACAACCTTGCAAATAAAATCCACTTGTTCACTTCAGTTTTTAGCCTAGAACGAGATGTTGATATATATTTGAAGAGTTCAGAAGCAAAACCCTCTAAATCCATCAGACCTCTTTTCTTGTAAATGAGCATTTTCTATCAGGCTCCCCTAATTAAGCTTAGGAGTTTCATTTTATAGGTAATGATAAGGTTATTAGCTAGTAAATAAAATTACGTTTTTTTTTTTTTTTTTTCAAAAATATCACTTTGGAGAATTCTTTGGTTTTTAACAATGTAGATTTTCTTTGACGTCAAAACCAGCAAAAATCACTTGTGCTTTCTTTTTTTTTTTTTTTTTTTTTTTTGCAAAAACCTCTAAATCCACTCATTGGGACAAGACATTGCAATTAGCTGAAAAATCCCTAAAGATGCTTTTAGAAATTATTTTACCAAACATAAAAAACATTACACAAACCACCTAAAATTAAAAATACATCTGCCAAGTAAGTGGTGGTTCATTCCACTGTGGTAATCCCTGATAAACCAGGGACAAAGCAGAAGGGAAATGAATGCATGAAATCTGTCAGGTAAGTGCATTAGTCAATAACAATAAAACCGACATTAATTAAATCTTAACTTGTGTGTTAAAAACAAATAAATAAAAAGAAAATAATATGCTTAAAAAACAAATAGATTTACGTAGTTTGAAGGGTAAAACAATGGGTTTAGAACATTTAATGGAATGACAATAAAGCATTTTTTTTGTACTTTAAATGTGCCCTATGGTGTGACATAGCAAAGTAAAAAGAAAAAAAAACAACTCTTAATACTGTACAAATACCATGAGAGCAGTTTACCTTCATTGTTGGACACTTGTCTTTACACAGTGCTATTTATTTGATATGAAATTATGAATAATATTTGTTTTTCTCAATGGGATAGAGGGGTGTTACACCAAAAGACAACAAAGCATTTTTATTAATGGGACCAAAAAAGTTAAATATATAGCAGCCAGGTGCACATCATGGGTTTAGTCACAAGATCTTGAATGGGGTCCTTCCTCCAACTACTTAAAGTTTTCAGTGGGATTGACTAATTTGACCAATTGACCAAAACTTTTCCAGGCCTGGAAAATGTCATGTCAATATTCCATGACTTTTTCAGGTTTTTCATGATCGTATGAGCCCTGAATTTATTACTAATTGTATGATTTTATTTTTAATTTATAAGAGCTGTAGTTTATTGAATCATGCTTGAGACAGTTACACCATAGGAAAGTTTACCAAAGCTAAAACTAGAGCTAATTTAACAAAATATAATAAATTAATATGTTAAGGGAAAATATTAAATAATATTTTAATAAAAAAGAAAAATCAAGAAAACATTTTAAAAACAAATTTAAATTTACTGTAGTTTTTTTTTTTTGCAATACCTCATGTAAGTTTAAATTTATTATCTTTTATAACTAATGTTGTTCGGTGACAAAATTCATGATAAAGAAATTAATATAACTATTTAATAAAACAGTTTTTTTTTTTAAATGCACCAAAATTTATTGTCTATATATACTGAGAATAAGACAAAAATATTGGTAAATATATATATATATATATATATATATATATATATATATATATATATATATATATAATAGTTTTAATAACTGATTTATTTTATCTTTGCCATGATGACAGTAAATAATATTTGACTAGATATTTTTCAAGACACTTCTATACAGCTTAAAGTGACATTTAAAGGCTTAACTGGGTTAATTAGGTTAACTAGGCAGGTTAGGGTAATTAGGCAAGTTATTGTATAATGATGATTTGTTCTGTAGACTATAGAAGAAGAAATTTTTTTTATAATTTTGACCTTAAAAAAATAAAAAGTGCTTTTATTCTAGCTGAAATAAAACAAATAAGCCTTTCCATAGAAGAAAAAATATTATCAGACATATTGTGAAAATGTCCTTGCTCTGTTAAATATAATTTAGGAAATATTTAAAAAAGAAAAAATTAAACAAAATCAAAGGCGGGCTAATAATTCTGACTTTAACTGTATATATATATATATATATATATATATATATATATATATATATATATATATATATATACATACATACATACATATATATATATATATATACATATGCATATATATATATATACATATGCATATATATATATATATATATATATATATATATATATATATATATATATAAATCAGTTGTATATATATAACAGATTATTCATTATTATTTAAAGACATAACTCATTTTGAATAATCCGTAGAAATTGGGAGGGATAAAAAAATAAAGGTAATAACAAAGCTCTTACCAGTGTCATTTTAGCATGGTGTTCCTATTGCTGTTTTATTGATGGTTTGAATTAGATAGATAGATTTAGCATTTATTTTTGTTTTATCAATTTTTGAAGCAGCTTAAATACAATTGCACTAGTATAGAGAGTATTAAAATATTTTGTATTACAAAACAACGTGGATGAATAAATGACGACCATTTAAATGATTTAGAATGAAGCAACTATTTGAGATATTTAACTAACAGAAACACTGCTGTACATCTTACCTTTGTTCATATTGGTCCTCTTACTGTAGATGCCTTCCTTGTGCTTTGGTGTAATTGTGTTGTCTTCTTGCTCTCTAGAGCCTAAAATGTCTTTATTGAAGTGAGGAGGAACAGCATCATCAGAATCTGTAAAGCAAGCATGAGAGAGCTGGATTACACACAGGACAAACAAACGGAGGCCCAGAGAGGTTTGGCATGTGGATCAGATGAGGATTCTGTTCTTGGATTGTGTTTCACGTGGACAAAGCCCATGAATAATGCAGGACCGGGTGAGAGTGTGAACCATCTGCAAGGCTCAGAGGGGAGGGGCTAGAGGACGTATAAGTAGTAACCCATTATTACTCAACACACATCGTTATATATGGAAAATTTGGATTTGACATCAGCCTGAACAAAACCGGTGCACATTAATTGCCTTTTTTTATCATATAATACATTTTTATTTCAGCAACAACAAGTATTTTTAAGGTAAAAACATTTCATTAAAGGTCTGGTGAAGTGCTTTTAAATGTGCATTTTCATTCAAGGCTTGGCATAATTTTAATTGAAAAATCAAGAGGAAGGGACATAATGTAGCCCCTCCCCTTTATAAATGAAACAGCCAATAGTGTATTGTTTTATAACTGCTCTGCAAGTAAGAGTAATTAAGTTCAAGCAAAGTCCCTTTAAGGCAAGTCATTCGACTCGGTGGCCATCTCTGAAACACCTTTCGGGCAGTATGCTTGGTCACTCTGTCTGAATGGGAAATCATCAAATTCTCCAAAACTGCTTGCCAACCTTACGATTGAATTTTATATTAGGAATCACCAATAAAATTGAAAAGCAAACGTCCCCTTAGATTAATTTTTAAACATCCAAATCACATAAAATCTGCAGAAACTCACGTCTGGTCCGAACCCCTCCCCCAGAGTATCGTCAGTCTATAGCGATCAATGATTGGCTCCTTTACTAGAAAGCGGGCAATATTTGCCATATAGTGATCGACGATTGGCTCCTGTACTAGTAGGCGGGGCTTTATTCACCATATTGACCGTTACACTTTTTCCCACTCAAAAAGATACAAGTGACATGTCTTGTGTATTGTATAAGCTTTGTCTCATTTCAGAGGCTGCATCCTTCGAAGGATGCATTCGAATGTGCTGAGTCATCGCGGCTGACAAAGGCTCTCATTGAAAAAAAAGGCTCCTTCAAACGCAGCCTTCGTTTCCCAGGTAACGAAGGACACAACAGATGGATCCTTCGTGGCCTCGATTATCCCAAGATTCATTGCATGCTGATAACTGCAGGCATTTTTAAAAAAGACACTGGGGATTAAATGTATGGCTGCGTCCGAAACCGCATACTTCCATACTATACAGTGTGCTAAAAACAGTTTGCGAACCGAGTTGTTTATCCGAATGCATAGAATTCAAAAATGCGAGAAGTACCCGGATGACTTACTACTTCCGGCGAGATTCCGAAGTGTGCATCCCATGCACGCTCCGCTATCCTATGATGCCCCATGAGAGAATTCATTAATGGGAGTGAAGCGACGCAACTGACGCAGATATGTCACGTGACCATGACAAAATGGCACATGTAGTACGTCAGAATTCCATTCAAACTTCTCACATTTATACTGTATAGACCGTACTTTTCTAACGGCCAAGTAGTACATTTAAACACGAGTAGTAAATTTTTATACTTTAAAAACAAAAGTTATTACAAATTTTATTGCTGCTTGTTAACCTTAAGGTGTTATTTACACCTTGCTAGGTAATGAGATCTGTCTTCTGTAGGCTAGATCGTCTTATTTCAAAACGCTCGGTTCGGCCTGTGTGGACTTTGAAGGACTCACCTTTGAAGTCTACATTCTTCGGAGGATGCAGCCTCTGAAATAAGACTTGGCTATCATCTGTGGTTCAAGTGAATTATCATATGTGAAGTGTATTGAAGGGGGCGGGGCATGTCAGAAGGCTTTTTCATGTCAGATACTAGAGAGAATTTGATTAGTCATGATTTGATGAGAAACTGAAGTAAGAGGTGACGTGAATAAAACTGATGATCTATTTAGGTCGAAGTGACAAACTACAGTTTTACATGTTTATATTATTTTTAGATCTTCTAAACATGAATTTTGTCACTGTTTTGTTGCGCACTAGCTTATTGATATCCTAAAAAAACTTTTATTAAATATACAATTATAAAACAAACAAATTAATAAATAAGTTAGATATGATTTTTAATGTTAATATATGATTTAAAAAAAAATTTATTCTGGTGATACGTTGCTGAACAGTGAGTGAGTTTATTTCTTTAAAAAAAAGCCTTCTGCAGTCATTAAAAGCTTGACAGTGCAATAGAATGTGCTTTACAGTAATAGGAATTTTGAGTGAGCTCAAAAAAACACAAGTTAGCCTTGTATGTCCAATGAGTCATCTGGTAAAAATCACTTGACCGAATCAATCACCAATCGTTGTGTCTTTCATTGTGTAATATCTTGCCGAGATATTATTAGTCAAATAAAATTATATACTGCAGAAAAATGAAAATGTCCCTAAAACAAGCTAAATAATCTTCAAGTAGGGTAGGCAAAAATAATCTTAAGGAAAAATTTTATTTAGACTTATTTTTTCAAAAAAACAAAGCAACATTTTTAACTAGTCTAAGAAATGCTTCTTGGTTTAAGAATTATTAGATATTTGGACTAGAAGCAAGACAACAATTTTAAGTGAGTAAAGCATATCTGCAGTGTAAAATGCCTTTGAAATCATCATTCAGTTCTTTTCGCTTGATCCCTTTATTAATCTGGGGTCGCCACAGCAGAATGAACCGCCAACTTATCCAGCATATGTTTTACGCAGCGGATGCCCTTCCAGCTGCAACCCATCACTGGGAAACATCTATACAATCTCATTCACACACACATACAATAAGGACAATTTAGCTTACCCAATTCACCTATAGCACATGTCTTTGGACTTGTGGGGGACACCTGAGCACCCGGAGGAAACCCATACACCAACATGGGGAGAACATGCAAACTCCACACAGAAACGCCAACTGACCCAGCCCAGGCTCAAACCAGCGACCTTCTTGCTGTCAGGCAATCATGCTACCCACAGTGTAGCCTCTTTGAAATCATTTGAAAAAAAATGTATACCTGGGTGAGAACTTTCCACAGTTGTGTCAGAGCGACCAGGAGAAAGTTCTGGATCAACCTGCGGCATGTAGAACAGCTCGGAGCTTCCATGAGGTTTGTATGGCAGCAGTGTGGGCACAGCTGAAGCAAATGAGAAAAAACAATTCAAGTGATTCAAATACCAGCACACTCAAATGCCATAAAAAGCTTAATAATAATAAAATCTCCATCATGTACCTGCTGTGCCGTATGCAGTTTGACCAGAGAGAGTTCTGGATTTCATGTCCAGCCTGTTAGAGGGAGCAGAGGATTGTGTGTGTCTGGCTGGAAAGCGTGCACTGACTCTTCCTGTGTTCTGGCCTTGAACCCGTTCTCTGTATTCATATGAACTGACATGATTTAATGTTGAGATTCTGTGCATGGGCTCCAGTTGTGGATCAGCCACGCTTGGCACTATGGGTCTTTGAAGCGCGACATCTTGACTGATGTTTTGAGTGGATTTCTCAAAACGAATCTGATTTTTGGGTTTAGGTGATAAGGTGACATGTATGTGAGAGAGGTGGGACTTGTTATTGAAGGTTGAGCTTGTGACATTATAATCGATGTGAGACATTCTCTGGGCTTTATCTGTAATTGTGTTCTCTTGTTTATCCTCAGTTGTTTTCTTCTCGTCAATATGCTGTCCTTCTGTTTCTTTTTCTCTGTCAGAGTCTTTAGTTCCAGCAGGCGTCTCATTGGCTGAACCAACATTAGTTATTTTCAGGGTACCTGTGACCGGACTGTGTGGTGGTGACTGTGGAGATGGAGTACGGCGAGTGGTTGATATAGTAATAGAAGTAAAGGGCTTGGTGCTAAAGCCTTCTCTAAGAGCGATCTCATGTACTTTGGCTTCAAGATCCTGAACTGTGCTCAAAGGATTTGAAGGGGCTTTCTGCAGCTGATCTGAGAGACGATTCTCCATGTTACGCAGTCCAACATAACCCTTTGTCTGCTGAGATTCAAGGCCAATACTTGACTGTGCACTGCCCTCGGAATCTGAGCTCCACTGAGAAACAAAACAAGACAAACAGAGAGCATATATTAATACTAATCAATACATCAGTGCTTGGGAGGAATGTGTGGAAGTAGATTGTGAGTTTCAGAGGAAACACTGCAAACATGTGGACACAGAAGAAAGTCACACAAACAGCTTTACCTTGAACACAGTCTATCAGGAGTGTTGATAATGCAGTCTGCCGCACCAAAAACAAAACTCATATTATTTCACCATAAAGTGAGACACTTAGATTGTTCAAACTCAAAGTGATAACAATAATTATGTCATTTTATGGCCAGCAATTAATTAGTGCCGGTTACTGGCAATTACAAGTCTGTACGGATTTGTCTATTAAAGTTGCAGTAGGTGATCTGCCAGAATCCTAGCATTAGCATAATAGCTTAGATATTTTATGACCCTCCCCTGCAGTCTAAAGCCACGCCTCCTCAAGGGCCTTCTCACACTATGCTATCTGAACCGTGCCCAGACTCGTTTCTCGGATCGTTTGAGAAGTGTGAGTTCTCTGAATCGGGCTCAGGCACGGTTCACTTGGCCGGCTCAGGCCTGTTTAGAGGAGGTGTGTCAGAGAGCTGTTCACTTGGGCTTTGGCGCGGTCCACTTATTGTGTGAGTGCAAAGCGTGCCAGAGCCCGAAACTGAAGACGAGACGTGACTTTTACAGCACTGTTTTATATGTGTTTATTAATAATTTTTACCGTTCAATGAACACAAACTGTCGTAGATTATTAGACACAAACCCTGCACGACAGCTGCAGCTTTAGCAAACCACTTACCTGTAGCACGAGTACTTTATGATTGTTTATGAGCGTCAAAAGTGGCTGATCTGTTCGGCGAGATATTTGACTGCGTCACTGCATCCCAAACATATAAAACAATATAACTAGAGAAATCTCCACTGTGCTGAGCGAAAGCGCTTAATGAACAGCGCATCATTGATGACGTAAGTGTGCCAAGGCCTGAATGCAATGTGAATGCGGGGCGTTGGGGGAGACGGGAGGGGGGATAACCGTGCTTTGGCCCGGTTCAAGACAACTGTACATACTGTGAGTACGCCCCAAGTCATACATGCACACTGATTAGATATAACACTAGATCATGTCCTTCACCAGTTAGAAAATGGTATGATAACCTTGGATAAAAATATCACGGTTTTATGGTATCACAGTATTGTGATTAATGCTCTAAAATATATTCTGGTTAAAAAAAAATGTTTTCCCCTTTGAACACAATATTATCTATTTGAAGAGTTCACCCTTAGCTGATGATTGATTATGAAGGGAGGAAACCGGAGAGCCCAGTAAAAACCCACGCAAATACAAGGAGAACATGCAAACTCTGCACAGAAATGCCGACCTGGCCAGGAAGTGTCAGAGCCGGTGACATTCTTGCTGTGCGGCCGTGGTGCTAACCACTAGGCCTCCATGCTGCCCTGACAAGAAAATGGTAGGAGTAGGTGTGGAAGGGGGAATTCTTTATGACGAAGATAGTTGAAGTAAGATACTCTATTTATTTATAGTGGTTAAGGAGTCGTCTGATTGATAAATCAGTGTTAGCTAATGTGGACCAGGTACTATCAATCATAAGCACGTGCTCCTCTCGAAATTAGTTTATAAATAAACTTCACTTTGAGAAAAATTTTAAATATTTTGGAACAGTAAATATGTCAGGATAAATAACTCAAATTAATTATTGACTTCTGCTGTCTTCATTTGTTTCAAAAATACAGACTCTTTAAATGTCATCTTTTGATAACTTTTCTTCTGGAGATACTGCTGTCCTAAAAAACAAAAAAAAACGTAAATAAAAAAAATCTTACACATACCTTAGGAACAGTATTACATAATATTTTGGCGGCTTTAAAACCTTGAGTTTTCACACGATGGTATACCTTGAAAACGGTTATCGCCCCATGCCTAGTGAATATAAATCAAACTTCACCTCAGTAAAGTTGGTTAGGCACTTTTACGTATGTTTTGTTAAAAACGGAAATAAAAATTAGTTCAGAAATAAAGCAGTGCTAAAAAACAGAAACTACTGATACGAGTTTGTTAGTATCACAGCTCCGTCAGTGAGAGTGGTTGAGATCGAGCACATCAAACAAAATGCAAATGAGCAGTGTACTGAAGTGGGTGGACATGTCAGATACTAGAGAGCATTTGATTGGTCAGAAGATTTGATGAGAAACTGAAGTATGAGTCGACGTCAAAAAAATTGTGGAACCATTAAGGCTGAAGTGACAAACTGCAAGCTTTGAATGTTTCTATCTTCAAAATGCTAATTTTGTCAGTTTTGTAGCACATTCGCTTATGGACATGCCTAAGACTAGGGCTGCTCGATTATGGGGAAAAAAATTATAATTACGATTATATTGGTCATCATTGGAATCACGATTAATTAAATGATATACAGTTGAAGTAAAAATTATTTGCCTTCCTGTGAGTTTTTAAAAAATAAATATTTCCTAAATGATATTCAACAGAGCAAGGAAATTCTCACAGCATTTCCTCTAATATTTTTTCTTCTGGAGAAAGTCTTATTTGTTTTGTCTTGGGTAGAATAAAAGCAGGTTTAAATATTTTGAAAACTATTTTAAGGTCAATATTATTAGCCCCCCTAAGCAATATATGTTTTGACTGTCTGCAGAAGAAACTATGTTATACGATGACTTGCATAATTACCCTAACTTGCCTAATTAACACAATTATGCCTTTCAATTGCACTTCAAGCTGAATGCTTGGATCTTCAAAAATATGTAGTAAAATATCATGTGCTGTCATCTTGGCAAAGATAGAATAAAATAGAATATAAATATGAAACAAACTGTGCTTTAAGCATATTCACTGTAAGAAAAAAACTTTAATTTTAGCCACAAAAGTCCTGCAGTCAAGTGAGGAATTTTGTCCTTTTGTTGTTTGATTAATAATTTAAACAATCGGCAGCAGGAATATTGTGCGTTGTCACTTTAAGAGCAGTGCGATTCTGATTTATGGTTTCACTTTCACATGTCTTTTGATTCTCAACTCATTTGTTACATAAATTAGGGTTAATGTAAATAATCACTAAACACTGCATTTTGACCAAGCGGCAACCTCCCGCTCTCCCTTATAAAGCAAATACATAAGTAACTGAAACTGCAATTCATCAAAATTCCACTAGTCCTGGCTCCATATAGAGCAAATTTTTAGGGAGCCCACTGTTAAAATGGCCAACTTTACAGCAGAAAACAAGGTGTTTACAGCCTGGTACAAAGAATGATTTTGGTTCATATAGCTAATATTACCCTTCATGACAACTGTGAGGGGGTGAATATTTTTATAACTCATCCGTTTCATTTATATTAAGTTATTTTACGTCTGCATAATTAAGGGCATGGCCACTTAAATGTGACAGTTAGGTCTCGCTGGTCGCAGTCACATCACCTCATCTGATTCCGGCTGATTAGCCGCTAAACTCGACATATACATGGTATTTTTGCTTTGTTTTATATTGCTTTAAACAGTCAGTTGCCTTTTGGAATTATTTCTTACAATTATCAGATGATATGGCATGCTGTGTGGACTTAATTGTGCTTACAAACTATTCATGTGGAAGGTGAAATTAAATGGGGAGTGAAATTAAAGACTTATATACCATATCTATAAATGTATTATTTTTTTTAAAGATCATTTATCATTTATATTTTTCTTTAGAACTGTAATACACTCCAGAATCCAAGTGGTGCTCGCTGCAGAGCCATTTGAGGAGAGCTGAGCTCCAGCGAGGGGGAGCTTAAGCTTGAGCTCCACCTTTTTTGCACTTCTTCTACGAGTGATGTCACTGGGGGTAGGGTTAGGGGTGAGGTTGGTGTACGCATTAAAACAGCTTACAGGAGGAGGAGCGACAGCTCATGCTCCCCCTCGCTGGAGCTCAGCTCTCCTCAAATGGCTCTGCAGCGAGCACCTCTCCCAGAATCTGACAGACTGATTAGCTGTGGGCTCTAGAAGAGATCTAAAACGTCATACAGTGTTTCACAGCTAATAACTTCATAACTTGTTAGGACAAAAACTCCTTTTAACATGGAAAAGATACCTTTTATCACATCACAGTGCTGCGTTACTTGTAGTTATGATATAGTGTTAGATGTTAGTTATAAATGTAAAACTAGGGATCCTAAGCACACAATTAAATATCTAATATAAACTGATCTTGAAAGATAACCAATATAGTGACAATTTATTGTGCATCCCTGGCAGATCTGGCTACAACCACTGAGCATTGAAATGTTGACAGTTTGTGAACCAGAAGCACTTTGTTATATGTTAGCGTATGAATGTTACCTTGGTGTATTTGGTGTTCAGCAGAAGCTCTCGTTTAATTTCTTCAATTCTCTTTCTGTCCTCAGTGTTTAACTCTAAACTTTCACACCGACGACCAGAAACCTTCATCAGGATCCATTCTACGGAGACAAATTCAATCATTCAGTCACAAAGCAATAGTTAACTCAAATGAACATTGCTTTTACTTATTTGCTTTTGTTCTCCAATAAAAAATGAAAGGAGACATTTTAATTGAATCAAGGTCCTTGGTGCATTAGAACAAAGTAATAGGCTAATTACTAAGGTAATAATAGAGGTAATAATCGCATTGATTAGAGACTTTAGAAAGACCAAAACAACATTTCAGATGTTAAATAATGTGGTCAGTCCACTGGTTTGTTCATTAAGGTCACCCCATCATGCCTATTTTTGTTATCACATGATCTGTTAAAACAAAATCCCATAACTTTTTTTGATTTACATGCTGGAATTTATTTGGTAGATGTGTTTTCCTTGTAGTTTATGTAAATTTATTTTATCGGATAAAAAGTTTATCCTACTCTGTTGGCGCATAGTTTTTTTTTACGTGTATTTTCCAAATGTATGCACATCTTAGGATTTCCATTAAGCGTATTTATTTAATATTCCAAAATACGCATGAAAATAGGTGGATGGAAACGTAGTCAGTCTATCACTGTTTTTTTTTTTTACATGAAATTTCATTTCAGGGTTAACAGGGTGTCCATTTAAGAAAGCCACTACCAGTGATTACAAAATGCATACAGTTGACGTCAGAATTATTAGCCCCCTTTAAAAAATTTCCTTTGTTAAATATTTCCCAAATATTGTTTAACAGAGCAAGGAAATTTTCACAGTATGTCTGATAATATTTTTTTACTCTGGAGAAAGTCTTATTTGTTTTATTTCTGCTAGAATAAAAGCAATGTTTAATAATAAAAAAAACATTTTAAGGTCAGAATTATCAGCACCTTTAAGCTATATTTTTTCAACAGTCTACAAAACAAACCATCATTATACAATAACTTGCCTAATTACCCTAATCTGCCTAGTTAACCCAATTAACCTAGTTAAGCCTTTAAATGTCACTTTAAGCTGTGTAGAAGTGTCTTAAAAAATATCTAGTAAAACTTTATTTACTGTCATCATAAAAATAATTAAATTAAAATAAAAAAATCAGTTATTAGAGATGAGTTATTAAAACTATTATGTTTAGAAATGTGCTCTCCGTTAAACAGAAAATGGGGGAATAAATTTATCAGGGGGGCTAATAAGTAAGGGGGGGGGGGCTAATAATTTTGACTCCAACTGTAAATGACCATAAATCCTCTTAGACCAGGGATGCCTAAACTTTTCCGTATGAGGGGCAAAATGCCAAATATCACTGTGGGATAAAGATAGATATACTAAACTATTTTTGATTAAAATCACCATGGGAAGTTTACTAATTAATTTCCTAATATAAAAAAATAAATAGAAAGCTCTACTTTGAATTGTATTAAAGAGCCCCTATTATGGATTTTTGAAAATGACCTTCCATGTATTGTGTAACACATCTCTAAGTGAAGTGAAATCTCCAGGTAAGGCTTAAATCAAAAAGTGAGTCGTGTTTAAAACTATTGATTCATTTATAGAAGAGTCGATTCACAGTGCTTCAAATGAATCATCTTAATAACGAGTCTTTAGCCGTTTTGGCATGATGTCTATACAAAACTTAAGCCCCGCCCAATTGTTGCACGTGCAAACCTGGGAAAATTGAAACCTGCAGCCCCGCTCACAAACATTGCAGCAGATCCCGGTTGAATCAAGTCATGAGCACGCTGTGCTCAGCTGGATATTAGTGGAAGTGTGAGGGAAAGTTAGTGTTATTTTCTCTACCCAAAGATGTAACTGAGAGAAGTCAGTGGTTGAGTCTTATTTTTGAAAAAATACCTCAGCATTACAGCCC